CATGATCTCACGGCCTATGAGCTTGAGCCCTGAGTCGGGCTCTGTGCTGACAGCTCAGAGCCTGGAACCTGCTTCGGACTCTGTGTCTCCCTCTCTTTCTATCCCTCCCCTACCAATGCTCTGTCTCTCTCAAAAATAAATATTAAAAAAAAATTTTAAAAATCAGAACTGTAGCACAAACTGTTGCTTTGGGATTAAATAATAGCAGGAATAAAAGTGATTGCTTCAGAGAAGCCTAAGATAAAGTATTTGGATCCTGCTAACTGGCTTACAAGAGGCTAAGCCCGGTTCTCGCGCTCTTGGGTAGCACCCAAGCCCTGGTCACATCCACTCCCCCTTTAACTCCTCACCTAGCTGGTGCTTTTTGCAGGAGACCCTTCTCCTGCACCCACCCCACCCCCTACTTGAGGGGCGTGGTGAGTTCATGGATCAGAAATGGATTCAAATCCCAGCTGGGATCTAACTCACAAAGTACTCCTGATCCTTATGGCCTTGCTTCCTCATCTGTGAGATGGAATAATGCCCAGGAAGACAGGTGGCAGTGTTCTGACCAGCAGCAGGACGTTCCCTGGAGATGTTAAGGAGACAACCAGACACCCATTTAACCGAGAGACAGCTCATGTGAATTCTCATCATCAGAAGGCAGGGGAATGGAGCCAACAGACCCCAGGCATTGCCTTCAGCTCCTTCAGGCCGTGGAGGAATGTCAGTGTAGCCTCCTGGATCCAGGACCCAGCCCAGTGTCACATGCACACAGTGGGGCTCTGATCATTCAGACCTTTGCCCCTAATGTTGGGCCTCTGCCTTGACTGCTCTGGGTCTCAGTCCCCGTATCTGTAACCTGAGAGAACTGACTACATTTGTAAGATGTCTTTCAACTCTTAAGCCGATGTTAAATACACTGGATTCCTCAATGTGTTAGAGAAGTGAATTGCTTCCATAGTCTTCTGGGTAGGGATGCTGAGAACCCACACCAAATACTGGTTTTAACCAGTATTTTAACCATACCCAAATACTGGTTTTCAAAATCTGAGTCTACAAGAACTAAATTTGCCTGACTCTTATTTCATCTCGTGGTTTATGTGTAAACACTTCAAATTTCCCAGATTTCTCTTTTAGCTTGACATACAACGACATCTGTAAAGTAGCTCCTAGTTTAGTCGAAGTAGGCACCACAATTAAAGCACATAAATTGGTGGTCACTGCATGCAAAAAGCTAAAAATTAATTTTAAATCCAATTCTAGACAAAATTAAATTACTTTCTGGTATTTTCTCCCTTGAGCCCCTCTCTTCCATCATCCCTTCCTTTGCTCTGTTCAGTCCCATCTCAAGTCCTCACCGCCATGCGTTCCGGAGACAGATTTGCTTGTTGACTGTGGAAAGAACGAACCCACGCACCCTGCTAAGGACACACAACTCGTTTGTGGCAGAGATGGTTCATGCTCACCACCTCCTCCAGGTGTTCTCCCACATGCCCCCCACTCCCCTGCATTTAGATCAGGGCCACGGACTGACCAATGGACTGGGAAAGGAAGTGGCACGGTTACCTTGGTCGGGGCAGTTAGGAACACTGTGAGTTCTCTCCACCATCACCGTGGCTTGACAGAAAGCCCTGGGACGGAAGGGCTGGCAAGATGGAAGCTGACGGGGGTCACTGGTAGCGGAAAGCCCCTAAGGAGAGCTGCCCAATTCTCATTACATGGTGACATAATGAAAAATAAAACTGTCTTCAGCTACTGAGATTTCATGGTTTGTTACTTCAGCCTAGCCGAACCTGGCCCCACATATCCCTTCTGGAAGTATTTCCTGCTAAGAGAGATTCTAGGGGGAATAACAGTGCAAAGCCCGATGGAAATACCTCCTCATAGTGGAACTCAGGGTACCCGTTGTAATCAGGCCACTGCAGCAGCATCTGTATGTAGAAGAAGAGGGTTGGCATCAGGGAAGCTTCTTGATACCGCTGGTATCAGGGCATGGAGCAATTCTCCATAAGATGCCCCCTTACGGTCTTGTGCTGCATGAGGACTCCAGAGAAGGGAGTTTTAAGACCCTGTTTCTTTAGGCAGAAAGTAACCAAGCCCAGCTTCTAGACAGAGGCAAAACAAGGGAACCAGTTTTCTAGAATGATCTTGAAAAACAGCCACCTAGTGCCAGAGATAGAAATCCCTTTTCTTATTCCTGTCCCACCTCATATTATCAATTATTAAAACACCTCAGGGTTCCTGGGTGGCTCAGTTGGTTAAGCATCTGACTTCGGCTCAGGTCACGATCTCGCAGTTCGTGAGTTCAAGCCCCATGTCAGGCTCTGTGCTGACAGCTCAGAGCCTGGAACCTGCTTCAGATTCTGTGTCTCCCTCTCTCTCTGCTCCTCCCCCCTGTGTCTCACTCTCAAAAATAAACATTAAAAATTGTTTAAATAAAATAAAACACCTAGCTGCCTCTCTCCAAAATCCCACAAGCACCAGAAAATTTGATAATTTGGATCTATTTAAGAATCTAGCGGAAACTTTTTGGAACCATGATGAAAGGACAACACTGTGCATCTGTTGAGTGAAGCTGGCCTGGCTCTGACGGTCTTTTGGGAAACCCTTCTTTCCTCCCTTCATAGAGACCTTCCTGGGCTTCCAGAGCATCATGGCTGGTTTCAAGAATTATTCAGCTGGTAGCAACTGCACCCTAGGGAAGAGGCTCTCAGAAAGGAGGCAAAGTACTACCTTGGTTCCTAACTCTAAGTTCAGTTTTTGTTTTTTTTTTAAAGTGTCCCCCATCACATGACTCCTAAGAATAGCAATCTGTCAAAGGCATCATACTGACTGCAGTTTCCTAAGGATGTCACTCTCTCCCCCGAATACTCGTGATGCTCACCAGTGGAAAGGATCCCCTCCCAACTCTGCCACTGGCTTCTCCTCGGCTCCCTCCAACTGGGCCAGAGGGGGCTTCCAACAAGCCTCCTGACATATCTAGGACCCAGAGCCCACCTGATGAACACTCCAGATACAGTCCCTTTGGGTCTGGCAGCACATGCCAACCAAGTCCCAAACCAGTTTATTAGTTTAACCAAAAGGTAAACAGATGATGGAGATGTAGAAAGACAAGCATGCGAGCAGCTAAAAGCATCACCCCGCTATCCGCCGGGAAACAAATTTAAGACATTTCAAGTGGCATTAAATAAATGAGGCTATGTTTTATCTACTCGGAATTTCCATTGTCTTTAAAAAAGGAAAATATATATATATATATATTTTTTTTTACATTGCAGTATATAAATCTAGACTCTACATATACAGTACAATACACAGGGCGAGCACACAGCACAACACATACGTCGTTGTAGCCGCACCCTAACTCAGGCCAACGGTTCTGTATTTTGTGACCTTCGAACCAAGGAATTCAGGCTGAGGCTATGTTTGCTCCAGTCTCCATGATGTTCAGCATCCAGGCCATCGCTCCTCCAAGCTCACAAGCACAAATCGGACGAGCCTTGCAAACGGAACAAAGTGCTTTTCGACTGGTTGAAACCCAGTCGCTCTTAACGATGCACAGTCTGCTCTCCTAGAAAGGCCTAAGGGGAATCTGAGGCCTTCCCAGCTCATTCTTTGGCCCACTGCCACAGATCTCTAAACTTTCCCTGGTGTTTCTGGCAGATTTCATATGGCTGTTTACATCACACAAATCTCACAGAACCTTTGGGAGCTGGCTTTTCGGGATTAGGAAAAAGGGAAAAAAAAAAAAGCTCCATGTTGCAACCTATGCTTTATATCTGGGTTTGTTCTTTTTATTTTTAGAATAAAAACTGGAATTTTGAGAATTTTTTTCTTAAAAAGGACATTCTGAAAGTGCTTCTTACACATGTTGATATCGCACATATGGCTTTTTAGGTCAACCCCCCAGCACAGCTCAGATTTGGAAGGGAGAGGGTAATGGCGTTACTAGCGACAAAAATGTCACCTAACAGTAACACCGTGATAGCAAGTGTGGGGACTTGAAAAAAAAAAAAGTTATTGATTCCATCTGGAAGAAGGTACCTCATTAAGAAATGATTTAGATAATACACGTAGCCCCATCTCTTTCCCCATGACTAGGCACAGTAATTCTACAATAAGAGTTAGTAAAACAGGACACTGCCATCAGCAGGGAACATCTCCTGAGGGGCTGTTAACAGAGCAATCGCTGTTCTAAAATCGTTCACAGGCTCAAAATGATCAAACATAGTCAATCGCAGTCGGAATTTCTACACCTGAGGAACAAATTGCACGTAATACAGAGGTACTACTATCCAGATGGCAAAAGACTCCAGACATGTAGTTCCATGCAAAAGGCGGCGATCAGAAACGGCAAGGAAGTAGTGGCATTCCGAGGCAGGTTAAGAGTCCAAGTGAGTCCCCATCCTTTTGTGCTTTCTTTTCTGGCTGATAAGTCACCAAAGAGCAGGGCTACCTGTGCAGCGATGGTTGTGATATGTTCTTGAGCAGCGGGAATGGAAACACAACGCAGTTGCCAGAAATCAAAGTGGGCCAGAAAGCGGTGGCTCCAGGGGGGTGGGAGGGCCCTGGGTCAGATGGGCCTCTGAAGCTCCTCTTGACCCCCCCCCCCCCACCCGGGGTCGCGGAAAGCGGCAGATGCAGGCAGAGGTCAAAAGCCACTGGCTCATCCAAACCGTTTCCAAAGTGGCCTTTCATTCAGCCGTGGCAGTCTCAGCCTCTGCAGATCTTTTCTGGTGGCACTTGATGGAGAAAGTAATTCTCTCCCTGATAGGAACGGTTTGGACTTCTTATAATACTGGCACGAAGGACACTCTGTATTCCTAGGATTGATTCCATTTACTTGGAAGCTATGACACTAGGTTTTCAGTTCTTTCTATTTCCCTGTAAAAAGTGACCTCAACTTCCCAGGCCATTGTGCAAATTCATTTCTCCACAGTCCAGAATATCCCCTAAGTCCCTCATATATTTATATATATGTGTGTGTGTGTGTGTGTGTGTGTGTATACATATATGTATATGTACAAACATATATATGTGTATATACACACACACACATACATATCAAATATGTGTACATATATATATTTATAAAAGTGGATAATTTTGCATTTCAGTCTCAAATAGGTCAAAGAGAATCAGTGAAACATTCATCCTTTGCATGTCAAACTCCTCTCCGATTTCCCCCACGATGCCTGTCATAGTGCCCTGCCCACTAGAGGTACTCAGTAAATATCTGTTGACTTCACCAATGATCCTCTAACACTGGATGGTTGTTGCAATTGCCACGGCCTGTTGTCAGCCTCACTCCGACTTCGGCAAGCAAGGGGCCGCTGGTCCCTCCCTTCAGAGGGTGATTTTGCTGTGCCTGCTGCTCCAGCAGCCCCGTTTAGCTGTCCTGGGCAATGTCAAGCTGGTCCGGCTACGCAATTTCACTTGTTCTTCCATGGAGTTCTTTTTGCGTAAAATGAAGTCAAAGTTCACTTGGCTGTTCATGGCATAAAAGACATTGGCTGAGTCTGGGATCACGAGTTCTGGAAGAGAGGAGGGGAGAGAATGCAGTCAGCTGGTGTAGGTCAGCCCAGCGCTGACAGCGACAGGTGGAAAATTGTGTCCAGTCACAGAGCAAGGACCATTGGCCCTTTGTCCTCGGAACATGAACTGAACCAAACAATGACAACGACTCCCAATATTGGTTCCAACCACTCCTCAATCCCAATATTTAAAAACAAAGTACAAATATGATCTTGGAAATCTGACCCATGGAATAAATGTTCATTCAAATGCAGAATACTTTAGTTAGAAGAAAGTGCGGTAGAAAACAAAGGCCAAGAGACATTAAATGACACTCCCTGAATCATAGCTAGTCAATGGCAGAACTGGGCTAGAACCCAGGTAACCTTCCTCCCACGGTCCATTTTCTACTCCAGCATGTGGCTTTTCTCAGAGACTGAGAGAATCCAATGATGTGGGGGAGAAAAAAAATCTACAGCATTTTCCAGAACTTTCTACTTGGAATATTGAAATATTTTTTGAAGTAACCCCAAGTCGAACTAGCTGAATACTAAACAGCATCTATATAAGATAGAGTATATCTGTAAATATTTAAACTGTTGTCTACTTCAGTGATTCCCGACCAGACAGCTGCAATTTCTGAACTGGGACCATTCCAAGTATAATACGAAATTATCAAGCAAAATTATTTTAATTCGTTTATATTTTTAAAAGAAGGAATATACCACTTAGCACTCAGGGGTAATGGGTATCTAAAAAAACAAATGGGAATCAAAGGTAAAATGGGCAATGGAGTAGGGGAGGCAATTATTAGAGGCATCTGACTGCAGAATGGATTCAGTCAAGCTTATGTTAACTTCAAACACTGTAATCTTATAGCAAGACTGATGCAATCAGGTTCTAAGTGACTCTGGTACATTTTGCACAAATGTCCCAAAAAGAATAACTCCCCTAAAGTGTCCCCAGTCTCCTGCCCACATATTCCCGGGTCAGTAAAAATTCACCTCACAGCTATAGATCACTTAGCATATGTCCAAAGTAGTTTGGAGCACACTATTTCTTGTTATCCTCACAACTGCCCTATGATGTATGAAGGACTAGTGGGTACTGCCTCCTTTTCACTAATTAAGGACCAAGGCCTGAGGAGGTCAAGCAGCCCATCAAAGACCACCCAAGTGGTGAATGAAACTGGGCCCAGACTATACACCTCAGGATTCCTGGTTCTTCAGACCAACTGGTCTCACCTTAGTGTTGTTTTGTGGGCAACATGGTAAAACTCAAGAGATCACTTTTTAGGCTTAGAATTTTAACGGTAACTACAATAAAAGTTATAATTGACAAGGGTTTGCCCCACAAACCCTTCTGAATGAGAAAACTCCCAAGAGGCAATTGAAAAAGAATTTTCTCAAAGGCTAAATATTTCATCTCTAGGAAAAAGTGCTATTCTAATTTCAGCAACTCTTCTCTGGGCCCAGGATACAGCCCAGATGATGCTTTGGTCAAATGGAGTAGAAACAGCTGTTCCTTTCCCATATTCCCAACTTTTATAATTCTTCTTTTAGCTATACTTGGGGAACAAGCACTAAAGATGTGTGAATTAGGGGCGCCTGGGAGGCTCAGTAGGTTGAGCTCTGACTTCAGCTCAGGTCATGATTTCACAATTCGTGAGTTCAAGCCCCATCTCGGGCTCTGTGCTGACAGCTCAGAGCCTGGAGCCTGCTTCAGATTCTGTGTCTCCCTCTCTCTCTGCCCCTGCCCCAGTCATGCTCTGTCTCTCTCTCAAAAATAAACAAACAACAACAACAAAATGATATGTGAATTGGTTAGTGTTGGGTCTGCCAGTAGATAGGGTTAGTTTCAGTCATTAACTGCACTTAGAAAGAGACTTCTTTTGACTGAGTTTCTATGATGTGACAGGGTACAGAGGACTTACCTACAAGCTTGTCTCCTCCTCTCAACAAATACAACCCCGATTCAAACCGGCAAATAGATACGTTCAGGGTAAGTATTTGCCACCAGTTTTCCTAAAAGGAATTTCTGCCAACAATGGGCTTCTAGACATACCAAAGTATTTCCCAGATCACCAGGTCTTTGCCTCAGTTAAGTGTGAGATAAAGAGCCTTCAGATTCTGGAGTTAGAAACTTTTGCTACTTGAACATCAATCATGAATAAAGATAAACTGAAAGAGGGGTGCCTGGGTGACTCAGTTCCACCACTGGCTCAGGTCATAACCACGTGGTTCGTGAGTTCGAGCTCTGTGTCAGGCTCTGTGTTGACAGCTCAGAGCCTGAAGCCCGCTTTGGACTCTGTGTCTCCCTCTCTCACTCTGCCCCTCCCCTGCTTGCTCCCTGTCTCTCTCTCTCTCTCTAAATAAAAGCATCAAAAATTTTTTTTAATAAAAAATTAAAAGATAAACTGTAAGATAAACCTCTAAACCTCTCATGCATGATTAACTGAAACAGTGAGAAATTATTACAAGGACCACTACATTGCAGGTTCACATACAACTGAAACACACATTACTGGGTGACGGAGGTACGTGACTATCTGCAAAGACCCAAAAGGCCCCACCTCCCCTCACTTTCTGACACGGGGAGTGACCCCTTCCAAGGAGAATGTTTGCTAGAAACTTTATGGAGAATGCAGCAGCACCTGGGTGGCTCAGTTAGTTAAGGTTTCATCTCAGGTCATTATCTCACGGTTCATGAGCTCAAGCCTCATGTCAGGCTCTGCACAAACAGCATGGAGCCTAATTGGGATTCTCTCTCTCCCTCTCTCTGCTCCTCCCCTTTTGCTCTCTCTCTCTCAATATAAATAAATAAACTTAAAAAAAAAGTTTACAGGGGTGCCTGGGTGGCTCAGTCGGTTAAGCGTCCGACTTCGGCTCAGGTCATGATTTCACGGTTCGTGGGTTCGAGCCCCACGTCGGGCTCTGTGCTGACAGCTCAGAGCCTGGAGCCTGTTTTAGATTCTGTGTCTCCCTCTCTCTCTGACCCTCCCCTTCTCACGTTGTCTCTCTCTCTCAGAAATAAATAAAACATTAAAAAAAAAGTTTATAGACAATGGGCATGAGGATGCGCAGAAAAACCGTAGGAAAAACAGGGCCACTGTGGGGGCAGCTTGAGACGCTCCATTCTACGAGTGAGGTGATGGCAGGGTCCCCCACACGATACCACTTCCCCATAACTAAACACCCCTACTGGGTTCCACTGTGTTCGTTCTCTGACTTCACACACCAGGCAACCCGCCAGGAGATGCGACGTGCGCCCACCTTTGTCCTCCGAGATGACCTGTACCAGCTCATACTCCTCAGCCGGGTCTGAGTCCAGGTTGTGCTTCAGCATCGCCCTCTGGATCACTGCGGGGGTTTTATCCTGGCTTGTCAACTGGAAAGACAATGGAAGGGCTTCTAAGTATTCTGCTTCATGTCGCCTGAAAGAGTTCTCTTGACCCTCTTATTCTTGCTGCCATGTGTCTTCGTGGCAGTGACGGCCCAGTGCAGTGGAACGGGACCCAGAGCCAGAGCTCCTGGGTTCTAGTCCTGGCTCCACCCTAGCGAGCTGAATGATGGTGGGACGCTTAGTCTCACAGTCCCCTCCTCCCCCAGTCAACTGCCGTCCCGCAGTAAACCAGAGCATGCCCCTTGCCAGGCTCCTCCACACCGGCTGGGGTTCCAGTTGGGGGCAGGGTGGAGTAGGAGGGGGCCATGGAAAGCACAGGGCATTTTTGGTCCTGGGCTAAAATCGTCCGTACCCACTGAGCTGCCACCATGACGCCGGGCCACAACCTGGGGGAGACAAGTGACCACAGTTCTGCACAAGGACCCATTCAAAACGAGCAAGAGACCCCATGACTCAGCAATCTCCCTGCTAGGTATTCCCCGAGAGAAATGAAAACCTGTATCTGCAAAAGGACTTCTACACAAATGTTGACAGCAGATTCATCCATAATGGCCTCAGACTGGAATGAACCCGAATCACCTCGACAGCAGAGAACAGGGGAAACGGACAGACAGATTAAAGTATATTCCTGAGAGAGCACAACTCAGCAGCTGTAAACTCAAATCCGACACATGCAACAATGTGGATGAATCTCAAAAGCATCACATTGTGCAAGAAAAGCTAGACATGAAAGATTACATGAAACAGGAGTCATTTCTTTTGAAAAACAAGCAAACCTAATCTATGGCTTTAGAAAACTAACAATAATGAAACTTAACCTTTACTAGGGGCAAAGGGGGGGACTGATTGGAAGGGGCACAAGGGAATTTTGGGGGATGAAAAATGTTCTTTATCTAGGTTTGGGGTGATAGTTACTCAGATACAGGTAGTTATCAAAACCCAAGGAACTGAACACTTAAGATCTGTGTACATATAAACTATTTGTAAAAAAAAAAAAAAAAGATCTGTGTACATAATTGGATGTAAATTAGGCTTCAATAAAAATCGGCTTCTAGGTGTTCGAAAATAATAAATATAACATTTTTCAAGTGCAAGTAAAGTTTCTCCTCACCCCCAGTTCTGACTTTCTCCCCTTTATCTTTGTACTTCAGCCAACTATTGTCAGGGTGCTCAGCGCGAGAGGTAAAGAGGGGCTGACTCTTCTAACATCCTGTGAGCGATTTCTTTACATCAGAAAGAATGCACACGCACACACACACACACACACACACACACCCCACAAATTACCGTTACTTAAAAATAAAAGCTGTTCTCACCAGGAGGTAAGAGGAGAGACAGTAAGTAAGCAAGTAAATAATAAAAGAAAAAATTTAAAAAACTAAAAGAAGAAAAAGACAACTGATTTCCTCCAAGAAACTGTCACAGAGCCTGAAGGACCTAGATGTCTCCCTCTGGTCTGGACCAGCAGCTGGTATTTGTGATTCAATAAACAGCACGCATTACAATGGGGTCCTTGTAAGCGACAAAGACCCTGTTCATTTGTCTATTACCAAAACATCCGGCATATTCCTTTACAAGGGAGAAATAGATGCACACAAAATTCTAAAAGAGGAAATATGTGTTTTGATAGTCTAAAGAAAATACTCCCACAGCTGGATCAAACTGGACCAGAAGCATAAGGTGAAAGAGAGAGGATCCTACTGGGGGATGGATGGGGCGCTAAGGTGATTAACGTCAGGCTAAGTTGTCAACTTTAAACCTACCTAAGGAGAGAGCCAGCCTATCCTATCCTTAACTATCTTGACCTTAAACTTCCCCAGGTGTGTCCAAACGAGGATGGGATATGGCCAAGGGCTTTCCCTGAGAGTTTATTACTCTGTCCCGCTCAATGTACTGAGTGGGGTGGAGAGTCCCAGTCAGCGCAATTTCGCAACCTCGGGCTGACATTCTGAACCAGCACTATCCGGCAGATATACATAATGCCAGCCCCATTTCTCATCTTACATATCTAGTAGCCATATTAAAAAAAGTTTTTCAAAAGGGAAATTAATTTTAATAATATATTTTATTTATTCCCTTACATCCAAAGTATGATTTCAGTATATAATCCAAAAATATTAGCGAGAAATTCTTTCTTTTGTACTACGTCTTCAAAATCTGGTATATATTTTACACTCACAGTACATCTCCATTTGGACTATTCCCATTTTAAATGCTCAATTGCCACATGCGGCTGGTGTACTCAATGGAACAGTGTTGGATGACACTAGCATGTCACTTTCATGCACCTTAAATAGAGAATGCGAAGAATTCCCTGTACCTCCTCCCTGAGGCTAGCTTCTAATACCAAAGGTTCGTTTGGACTATTTCTGAAAGAAAAGACTCCTGCAGCATGTCATCGTTTGTGTCTGGTTTCTTTAGCACAACGTGGTGTTTTAGAGATCCATCCACGTGGTCGCCTGTGTCACTTCTTAGCTTTTATTTCAGAGACACGGTCTAGTTACGAGGTGGGACTTTCTTCTCTGTTGGCATGTGTGAGAGAAGCCGTGTGAAGAAGCCACACTGAAAATACAATAATAACACTGATGGGGTGGCTTCTCGGTGGTTCTTCCACCTCAATCTCTCTCTCTCCCCCGCTTGAGTTCTGTCCCTGCTCTCACTCCCTGCGTGACCCTGTCCACCACGTAAGCTGGACAACTCTAAGAGCCAGCCTCGCGCTGGCCCATCTTCTGGACAATGTCAGCTGGGTGTCCTGCTGCCCCTCCAATGTAAGCGCCCCCCAACCCTCCTCATCCAGTACTGTGCACCTCACTTGATAGCACCACCAACCACCACTCAAAAGCCTTTAGTTTTCCCCCTTCCTCATCCCCTGTAACGGTAACCCAAAGCTGACGACTAAACTGATGGATTCTGCAATTCTACCTCACAAAAATAAAAAATCCATGTTGTCTCCAACCACATGGCTGTCATTCAAGCCTTCATCATCCTCTACATGGACTATGAGAGCAGCTTCCTGACTCGCTTCCTCGCTATGAGGAAGATGGTCCCATCTACCCCCCACCAGAGCACTGTCTCCACAATGTCAACTACTTTTCCAGTGAACAAATCTGATCACTACTTCAAGGCCTTCAATAAGATGCTATTGCCTGTAGGACACAAACTCCCACTTGAGAGCTGGAGGCCCTTTGCAATCTGGCCTGACCTCTATTAGAGAATTTGGTGCATGTTGAATAATGCTTTCTGAGCTCCCTTCTGATTGGAAGGCCCCCAAAGACAGAAGTGCCTCATTCATCTCCGTATCCACGAAGCCCGGCCCAGTGACAAGTACACATCCCAACGTTCAAGGATCTTTTGTTGAATTGATAATTGCATTAGGAAAGTTTTCCTTTGGAATGTTAGAAAGAAGACAGTGTGTAGGTTATATTCAGAGCCGAGCTCGTGAGCACTTCGTGGGCCCTCCAGGAAGGCGGGTGATAAAGATGGGAGAAGACAGGATCCAGGGCAGATGAGAGCCTGTCCTTTGGGATACGAAGTGTCCTACAAATGACAGAGTCTCTTCCTGGAATTACACACCTAAGATTATTACCAGGAGAGGCCAGATGTATTTATTCCAAAAGGCCTGCCGTTGATTCAAGACAATTTTGAGAGTGTGTCAGAAGCACGGTTTTTGCAAGGAGCTCAAAAAGGTCTGTCTCATTTAATTTATAAAACAGTTCCTGGTGGAATCAAACTGTGTTTCCAGCCTGATCATTCACCTTACTAAGTTTGATTCCAAATGACTAAAGGAGAAAGACCGGCCAGCATGGAGGACACTGCCGAGAATGCATGAGAGTTCATTACAAATCCAGACACGTAGTTCCGTGGGAAGACTTCCTAGAAGGGTGCAGGAGCTGCATCTTCCCTGGGGTACATTATACAGTCATCCAAATGGACGCTTGTGAAAAAAGTGACACTGAGTGGGAGAAGTTTTAGCAATTTTTAAGATGTAAACATTATATCTTATGGCCACTGCTGGTGTGTAGCAGCTTATATAAATATACTACTGTGTATACCCAGGGAGATTCTGGTACACATTCATTTTGGGCGGATGCCTACGTGTACACTAATACTGTGCATGCTTAGGGGTGTCAGTCTGAGTGCCTTACCATGATGCTCTTGTACATGTTGCCATTGTTGTCCTCTATACTGATGCGGATTATGCAGGTGTCTTCGTTCTGTTGGTTGTAAACGGGAGGCAGCACTGTCGAGGTAATGGATGTCACCGAGACGGAGCGCTTGTGGATTTTAGGGTTGTTGTTGCAGGCCGGAGGGGAGGAGAGGGGGTTTATTAAGGACGACATCCCTGAGGAAGTTGTGTCCATGGAATGGATAGAAGAACATGATGAGGAAGACTCAGAGAGCTGCAAGAGTAAATACACCCCAGAAGGAAACAGATTAGAACCTTGGCCAATGGCGTGCTTTGCAATTTTCAAAGCAGAAGTAGAGGCTGCGATGAATGAACTTCAGTTACTTCCTCCACAACAGCGCACAGCACACACACATCTTGTCACTGGGGTAAGTACCCTGTTGGCAGATTCCTGTCAGCGACTCAGTACTTGCCCTGGTCACTCTACATCCAGGTGAGGATGGACGCAAGGCAGCTGTCACAATTCCCCGAGTTTGCAGCTGCATTTAAGGAAGTGACCAGCAGATGGCAGCAAATACCAGAAACTAGAGGGTAACGTGGAGTCCAGGAGGAAGCTGGAAGCTTAACCAGAGCTGGAGGAAAGCCTTACCCAGTCCTACTGTCTTGAGTGGGAATGCTGCTTAACATGCCCACCACGATCTTTTCTATTCTGGCTCCACATCACAGATTTTGTAGCAGGAGAGAAAGTTTTAGAAGTTTCTAAGATAAGGCCACAGATTCTACAGCTCTGGATGGAACATTAGGCCTCTGGACATCACCTGGCCCCAACTGTGTTCTACTCCTGAGGAACTTGAGGCCAGAGAGAAAACTGTTGGCAGCACCAGGATGACATGCTCCCCAGTTTCCTGACTCCAAAGGCCAGGTTCACACAGCAAGCACATAGCGAAGGCCCACTCTATAAAGTTGATGAGAACGTGGTAAATGAACATAGTATACCACCACCTTGGTGATGTTTGCACTGTGATGTTGCTGATGAGCTTTTGTATATCTTATCTCATGTTGCTCTCACAACTATCCTGTGAACAAAACTCAGAGCATTATAAAGGGAAAAAAGATTCAGAGAAATAGAGGGTCTTGCCCAAAGGGACCACAGCTTATGAGAAGCTCCATTACTTTCTACATTTGTTTCTAGGACCAACTGTATACATTTTCACATTGTATATCAAGGACAGTTAGGGAATGAGGTGCTATAGTTAATGTGCCTTTCCGATTAACTACATAGTTACCATAAACTATGCAAGACTAATTACCAATGAAATAGGATGCCCAAAACTCATTAGGTTGTGTTAAAAAAATAAATAAATAAAAATAAACTAATACATGTTAAAAAATAAAGAAATAAAACTGTAACTTTCCTAAAAAACAAAATAAAATAAAGGGACTTCACATAAAAATCTGGGGGAAAAAACCCAAACACCACTAAATTCAATCACTTTAAATAACAATTCTTACTGTAGAAAATTACAAGTGATTTCTCAGAATGAGTTAAGCTAAATTATACCACATTAATCTTAACAAACATTTCGGAAGTCATTTAAAAAATAAGTAACCTACTTACGTCTTTCATGTCAATCTAGTTTTCCAAAGAGAAAGAGTACAGAAATTAAGCATCCTGATTATCTAGCTTCCAAGTAAATGGAGTTTATTCTATTTTATTTCCTAAGGATGTCTTCCTATAGCATAACTTTACATTAAATTCTACTATATGATTAGTTTAATTAGAGCCAGCAAGCTGATTTCACAACTCTGATATGTAGAAATCTAACTGTGACTCTGTCATAATATGGCTTACTTAGTAACATGTTTTGTCTATTTTACCAAGGGAATCCACTTTGCGACTCAGTGTGAGGGCAAACTGATGGTGCATGATTTCAACAGCATCACTTTGCTTAAAGATGCACCACACACAGTAGCCAAGAAGGTCGGTTGTCCAATTACTAGCTCAATTTTTTTCACCTCCCTTTTCCTCTACATAAATCCCCTTTCCTCTGTTAGATTTTCCATAATTTCAATGACATTTATGATTACGATAAAGCCTTGAAGACGCCTGAAGTACAGCAGCTCTCAACGGACCACTTGAGGAAACCCCTAGTTCTTACTGAGAATCTGCTATGAGGAGCAGGTGTGAAATTAAATGTTTAGAAACCATGATTGGGGGATGAAGAAACAGGAATGCCAAGTACACTTCACTGAACGGAGCAACCTCGTGGAGCACCGCTGGGAAAGGCATGGGCGGGGCATCTGGAGGCTCAGGATCTGGAGTAGGGAGAGGCTGTGGAGGTCCTCCAGGTCCCGCTACGTGGGGAGCAGGGGGCACCAACGCCTTTCCAGGTGACATCCAGGGATACTGCAGCCCCGCGTGTACGTGCATCCAAGTCAATGATTCCGCTTTAAACCTACAGAACTTCATGCCTCTGAGGAAGGTTCATCTGAAGAATAAAAATTCCCGACTTGTGCAAGAAACTGAAGTACCCATGTGATAAGGGAGGAGTCAAAAAGTTTGCAGCAAGTGGGGTGCAAATGATACCTGCTGGGCTGGCTCCTGTGTAGTTTTAAAAGGGATGATCTGGACCTTCACACACGTCCAATGCGCCAACAGGTGTGAAGGCCATTCCATCCCCTTCCTGGACAGGGAGAAATCCCACAAAGATGTGTGTGATATACCCCTATTTTCACTTTTGTATGATGTCCATCAGAAAAGGGGGCCAGAAAGAATAAGAACCTGTCTAAAGGTGAAGAATGATGCCTCACTCCAGATTTTGATGAATACAATGCCGTATGTCAAGTCATGGAGAATGATTACATCTCCGGTTTTGAAAATATGCCAGGGAAAACGGAGAACAGGCTCCAAGGTGTTTGCAGAGCTTTTCCTTCAATGTTTGGAGGATGTGCCTCTGGATTACAGGGCATGAGGTTAAGAGTTCTGGCTGGGGCAGTACCTGAGACATCTCAGCCTGAGACATCTCAGACATACTCATCCTGAGTATGATGTCCGTCCTGGATCGGCTACATTGTGATGAGATCACCTGAGGGTTCCTCTATTGCTGCTGTTGTTCATAACACAATGTGAAACTGCACAACGATCCCCTTACAGAATGGCAGAAACACACCACATGGAGGAATTCTTACCACTCTACGTCCCTGGCCTATGCATAAGCTAAGGGGCTAACACTCACTTACACAGCAAGTCTGGCTGGCCAAAAATCTCCCCACAAATGGTGCAAATTCTAGTCACATCACAGTTGATGTTTCTGATTTCAAGTTTCTTCACCAAGAAATTAAAGCAGATGCGTACAGAAGATTAAGTCACATCTTGTTTTATTTCTTTATGAAGCCATGGAAAATAGACACCCTCTATGGGAATTCTTTTATCACCTCTCATAGCTTTCTCTTTTTTGGGACATGGCAGATTGTACACTTGCTACCAACTCCTTACGCCCCTCTGTATCCATGTCCTTTGTCCTGGGACTCCACAGTTCCTCCCATTAGAAGGAGTCCCCTGCCTGACTTACTTATGTGAGATGTGGCCACATGATTTGCTTTGGGCAATAAAATGTTGGTATTATGACCAAAGTGAAGGCTTGATACATGCCTATGGGGTTGGGCTTGCTCTCTTGCTCATCTGTCTTAGCATACTCACAATATGCCCTGGATAGCCTCATAATTCCGAAAAGAATGCAAGGAGCAGACCTGGCCCAAACCCATGGCCAAGGCTAAGCCCGGTGCACATCAACCAAGCAGCAGATGCTGTTGTTTTAAGTCACTGAGTTCTGGAGTGGTACTGTGTAACATTATTATGGTAAAAGCATGGTGAAGACAAGGTATGACACCAAGAGGCTGCCACATCTGTCTTCTGACTTTGCGCTCCTTCTAAGAAAATTCTATGACTCCTAAAAAGTGTACCTCATGTTACAGGCCACAATCCTTCAGTCACCTTTGGATCCAGGACAATATTTCAAAGGCCACAGGAATAAACCAACATGCTCATTGTTTTTGGACCTGTTTCCATGAAGAATGGGTCCCTAGATTGAACTCTACTTTGCAGATCCTATAAACATGAATTTCAACATACTGTACAGTGATAAACTTGAAAACAGACATTCTCATTGGCAAACACTACATCAGTTGTCTACATTAGGATTTATCGGAAGGGAATAAGCATATACCTTTTTTTGAGGCTCATCAGGTGTGTCCATGGGAGTGATGGAGCCCTCCTCAGCCTCTGAGTGGTTTGACTCGCAGGACGACACACTGACGGAGTCCATGCTTTCACCAGAGCTCCCACTGGCAGTGGACTTGGGCTGCTCTTTGGTGGGAGTGCTACTGGTCATAATGTCTGACCCCAGAAACAATCTGCAAAACACACAGTGCCAGGCATTTGTTTACAAATCTGGAATCCACGACTTAGCAAATATTTTGCGGTAATTAACCCCTTAATTGTTTTGTCAATCCTGCATGCCCTGGCATTATTGGAAAACATTTCCTATAAAGTGTCTAATAGATCACAGTAAACGTCTCATCTGAGTAGGTCATTTCCAACCTCAAAGAACACAGAGATTGTTTAGCTGAATGAGAGGCCATATTCATCTGAGGTCTTCCTAGGTCAATGGTTCTTCATTTTTTAACATGCAACAGACCATAGTGGCAGGATCAAAATCCCATCACCTCATCCTGCCACGTACCATCATAAAATGAACGATGGATGAGGCTAAAGAAGAAGATGGCACTGCTTTGGCCAAGAAACCAAGGAGGACAACTTCTGTTTCCAACAATCTGGTGAACTACAATGAGCTAAACCACTTCACTATAAAACAACCGGATAAGAAACATTAAAAACTCTTTTTAAAGTTGAGCTTGCAACACAGTAAGGAAAATCCCTATGGGCCATAAATGAAAAGGGAACTGAAAACCAGAAGCATGTGAGCTAATCCTGCAGCTGCTCTGGGTGGGGAGCGGGAGGTACCAATCTTGGGGAGCTAGGAACACGGGTCTTAACACATATACAGACCCAAAGATGAGGGCCTCTGTTTATATAAGGTGGGGAGTTGAAATTGAAATCCCTTATAGAGCCAAGACCCTCAAAGAGCTACACCCTTAGTAAAAAGATGGGCTAGAAAAATATCTTCCTGCTGGCACAGGAAAACAACAAGAAAGCTTATCTGTCTTGGCCTGAGCTTGGGTGAAAGAAAAATGTCTCCCCTGAAATCATGTGTGATCTTGGCCAGCACCTCACTCAGATTTCCTACCTATGCTATACTTTGGTGCAAACCAGAATTAAGAAATCTTTCTGGAGGAATACACTTTCAGCCCAGGATATAGAGGATTTTCCAATAAAGATGAGTTCATAATATTACAAAAACATACAAGGAAATATTCCACCCAAAGGGAGTCAACAAACGTTAGACTCTTGAGACCTTCAGATACAAGAATTGACAGAAAGAAACTAATAACTTATCCATTCATTTGATAAATGTTTGAGTGTCTACCATGGACCAGGCTATAAAATAAATATGTTTAATATATTAAAGATCTAAGAAAAAAGGTTGAAAACAGTAGAGAAGAACAAGACATCCTGACAAAAGAACAGGAAGACAATTTGGAAAAAAAATTCACTTCTAGACCAAAAAATTTAGTGATTTAAAGTAAAAACTCAGTAAAAGGGTTAAATAACTGCTTAAGAGAAGCACTGTGAACAAGATGATAGATATGAAGAAAATTATCAGAAATCAGCATCAAAATATAAAGGCATGGAAAATAAGAAAGGTTAAAAGATAGAGATTGGAATAAGAGATGCTGACATGTGTAAGAAGGGTTCCAAGAGAAGACCATGAAGAGAATGGAAGGATGACCTTAACTGAAGAGATGGTGGGTGAGAAGGTTCCAGAACTAATGAACTGCCTGAATTGTTAGATTCAGGAACCATGTCTTGAATAGGATAAATAAGACTCAATACTCACTTAAACTCTCTAACGGTATATCAAAGACAAAAGAAGTTCTTAAAAGCAACGGCGGGGGGTGCATAATACAAAGGAATGGGAATTAAATAGATAGCAGACATTTCAAAAGCAAACAGCAGAAGTCAGAAGGCATGGAATAATGTCTTCAAAGTGCTAAGTGAAAATAATGGTCATCCTTGAATTCTATACCCAGCTAATAGAATTCTGTGAGTGAGCGCAAAATAAAGACTTTCTCAGACAAACACGGAGAAGGTTTACATTAACAGACAATGTGAAAAGGAGTCAAAGGAGGGAAGGGCAAGATGCAAGAAGGAAAGGCATGTAAAGGAACTAGCAAATGCAGCCAAGCCCAACAAGCACAGACTGGACAAAATAACAAGAGTAGAACTACTGAGCTTGATTTTTCATTAAATATTTCAGAAATTATAAGCTCAAATTTCAAGACCTGAAGCATATCTTTGTTCTGCCTCATCTCCACCCACCACCTCTTGTCCCATTTTCCATGTCACTTCCTTTCTTGGACTTCCAAGCCCTAGGGAGTCTCTAGGGGAAAGCCCTAAACTCTGACCACAATTCACAGGAGGAAAAACAATGCCACTTGTCGCACACCTCCGTGAATTACGAGGTAGACGTTGAAGGCTGTGAAATAGTGGTCCGTAGCCTGTCATCTGAGGATCTAGCTTAGAATAAAATTGGTCAAGACTAAAGGTTCTTCCATTTGTACAATTCCATGAGGTCATTTCTGCTTCGTAAGGGTTAATTCTAGCTCAATACTAGGCATCTCTGACTTTCAGACCAAGCACGCCTTCCCTTACGGCTTCAGAATCCTTTCCAACCTCTTTAGAAAATGGATTGTTAAATGTGGGGCAAGCAAAAAGTACATTTGCCACATTTTAAAAAATGCGAAGATCATAAGACATTTTGGAAATCGGTGGCATACAATCACCCTTATATGTCCAAGGAATACGAAGGGTGACAATGTGGCCTCTTTTATTCATAATACTTGTTCAAACTCAGATTTCAAAGGTTTAAACTCAAGCATCTTGGCAAGATTTCACCAATGAGAGAACGTACTCAGTGTCTACCACACTTTATGCACGGCACTGCACCCTGACAGTCCTGCCTCATGTGAATATCTTTGCAGGGTTTATGCAGGTGTCTCTCTCGGTGCAAAGAGAGGACCCAGGGGTGCTAAAGCAACCGGATAGCTGGGTTGAAGAGGGTAGAGGGGTACAGTTATGTCCAAACGCACCTACAGTGGCTACTGCCTGAGGACAGGGAAGAAAAAGCAAGAGGGCAAAGGCAGTAGCCCTTAGGATTACTTGGGATGCCTGGGTGGCATCTTAAGTCAGTTAAGTGTCTGACTTCAACTCGGGTCATGATCTCACAGTTCACGAGTTCGAGCCCCGCATCGGGCTCTCTGCTGTCTTCATGGAGCCCGCTTCAGATCTTCTATCTCCCTCTCTCGCTGCCTCTCCTCTGCTCATTCTCTGTCTCAAAATAAATAATAAACTTACAAAATTTAAAAATTTAAAAAAAGGAATAGATATGCCTGTGCTGACCTCTGACTGCCATAGCAGGTCCAGAAATTTCCGATTATTTCTGTTGCAGAAGACCATCAAGATGCCCAGCACTCCTGGACCCACCTCTCGGGAACTCAGATTCCCTGTGTAGGTGTCCATCTTACGAGCTGACAAGGCATGGTCAGGCCCTCGGGTTACCTCAAAAGAGAGCTCATTCTCCTCCAGAACTGCAACCATGACAAGATGGCAAGACACTATGGAAATTCTATAGGGGCTATTCAATCTATGAGCTATCTATTCAATCTGTGAGCTCAGAAATCTAGCGTTCAGGAGGGCCAGGGCAGAGGTTTGGTAAGATATGAAGATTACCTTCAAAATGCTTTCTATAAAATCCCAATCCCAATGTCACCTTCAGCTGTCACCTGATATCAGGTAGAAGCCTGAGCAGTGTCATTAGTGGGAGATTATGCCCTCCAGAGCCGGTAAGGACCTTCACATGTGAATTGGAAATATGGCAATATCCAAGTTCATGTGGCATCCTTGCCTCCGGGTCTCACTGGGACTCACTGAGTGGGTGGACAGACTGGGCTGGGAAGTAGCAAACTCACACAGAAACAGTCAGAATCCTGACACCCCCCCCCCCAAAAAAAAAAAGACAGGAACAGAAGTTGTTTCGTGAGAAAATAACTGTAGCTTTTCAGGCCCCTTTGAGAGTGAGGCAGTGTTTGAGGAGCGTTGCAACCCCACCAGCAGTGAAACAACCCACCGAGATGAACATTACTATTCTGGCCTCACAAATGAGGACACAGACATTCACACAACAGAGAAGTGGTGGAAAGCTGGCATCTGCCGAGTCAGCAGGGCTCCCAAGCCACCCTGACACACAAAAAAAACCTGGCCAATGTTTCCTAATCACTGTTCTTGCCCGTCGCCAGCCAATGCTGACCGAGACGCCCCGGAGATCAAGCCCAGGTATAGGTCTTCAAAGGGAAGAGCCAAGTTATTAATCAAATGGCAATCCCTGTTTCCTGGCACTGACCTCTTTAGCCTTCATTTGATTCATTAGCCTGATGTCTCTTAGAGTCTAATGTCTGAGAGATCAACTTGTGACACAGACCTGATCCTCTCTGGCTCTTCTGTAAAAATGGCTACCATCAATGCACAGGGTCTAATTAAGTAACAGTCTCTCATTCTTTCCTCCACCCTCTGCACCCTTTCCCTCTTCCTTGTCTTCCTTCTCTCCCTCATCCTCCTCTTCCCCTACTTTTTACCTCCTGCTCTATCTTTCCTTCTTCTCTTCCCTCAGGAGGTATTTTTCCCATAGGTAGTATAGTAAGAAGGCATCTTGTTCTATGGCCAAATCTTGAGTTTGAATCCAGATCTTCCAATAACTAACACACTATTTACCCTGTCTGTGCCTTACTTTCCTGGTTTATAAAGTCGGTGTAACATTAGGACCTACCACTTAGGTTATTTTGTGGATTGGATCAAAAATACATGTATTGTTCTTAAAATAGTGTTGGCACATGGCTCAATTTATTCATTCAGTAAATATTTATTAATCATCTACTATGTGCCAGGCACCATTCTAGGTTCTGGGGAAACAGCAATGAACAGAAACCAGACATACGTGCCTGCCTTCATGGAGTTTGCATTCGAGATAATTAACAGACTCCTACAGCATACAGTATGTCCCATGGAGGTAAAGGCAGTGGAGAAATTCAAAGTGGGTGAAGGTGAGAGAGGGTGCCACGGGCAGGTAAGGCAGACAGGGCATAGTATTAAATAAAGTGGTTGGCAGAAGGCTGAGAAGGTGATGTCTCAGCAAACTTCTGAAGGGAGTGAGTGAGTCACTTGGCTATTTGGGGAGCAGTGTTCTAAGCAGAAGAAACGGAGGGCCTCGCACGTTCAGGGAGGTGTGGGTGGCTGGAAAGCAGAGTGGAGTGAACAGGGAAAGATGAGCACAGACAGGTACGGGACAGGCAGCACTGGGATGGCACTGCAGTCCCTAAAGAGTCTTGAGGGCCACTGTAAGGACCCCTGATTTTACTCAAAGGGAGACAGGTATCATGAAGTTGGCTCTGGAGTGTCTCTTGCATGCCTGGCACTGGGCTGGGCATACAGCCATGAGTGTGATGGACAAGGGTCCTGCTCTCTGCCGCTTACGTTCCGCTACAAGAAGCAGCCGATGTGACCGAGAGTGATGGGGGTGGGCAGCGGCACCAGAGAAGGATCTCTCTCGGGAGCAAACACTGTTGCCCATATCTGAAGGAGCCAGCACGGAGAATGCACATGCCAGGCCAAAGGAACATCCGGTGCAAAGGCCCTGAGGCAAGAACGAGCCTGGAGTACTTGGCAGATGGCTAGAAGATGGGTGTGGCCAGACGAAGGGTATGGCTGAGTCTCAGTGAACAAGGGCGAAGGTTGGATGAGAGGAAGGTGGTCAAGAAGGTTGGGAGAGGACCATGAGAGTCCTCCTAAGCCACGATAAGGAGTCTGGGTGCAAATTCAAATAAAAGCCACAGAGGTTTTCAAGCAAGGAAGTGGCATAATCTGGTGTATGTTTTAATACCAAACTATTTGGTGGAGAATGGACTGTTGGGGCCAGACGCCAGTAAGGATGTTGTGGGCATCTCCAGGCAGGAGATGACGGTGGTCCACGCCAGAGAGAACAGTGGAGAAGAAGGAATAGATTTAGAAATTATGTAGGGCTCGTGACAGAACGATTAACAAGTGAGGGAACTGCTCCTCCCTTCTGGCCTGGCTCAGGGCTACAGTACTGAACACCCTTCCCATCCCTTCTCTGATGGGATCCCCTGGGACCCCCGGGTGACACTCACAGGCTGAGCCTCTTCACCATGCTCTTCCGAGGCTTGGGTGAAGTGGCACTGGCGTCTGCAGCTGCTTCGATCTCACAGGACAGGGCGTAGCTGGGGAAGAGAGGGGAGCTCGTGAGGTCAGAGCTTGAGAACTGAAGAGAGGGAAACGCACATGATCTGCCAAGTTTGTTTTAGAGGGAGGTCTCTGACCGTTCAGAGTAAAGATACATGCCGTGTTGTTCTACCACCAGTGTCAGAGGGGATGGACTGAATGGCCAAGATGTTAAAATTTATATGTGTGCCCCCTCCTCTCACCCCCACCCTGGCCTACGGATCACGGCTGTTTAGGGCTGCATGCCTCAGGGAGGGACTGGGTGCTTTGGCCGCATCAAAGACTGACTCCTCTGTTTCCTGATCATTCTCATCCTGCTACAAGCCAGGGGGAGAATTACTTCTTATCTGGTACCTCCCTTCATTACTTCATGCGTGTGTGCATGTGCTCAACTTTTTGTCTAAGAGAAATTAAAGAAGAGGCTTTTGTAAACCAATCTTTAATGAATAGACAGAGGCAGTTATATTATTGGTAAAGATACATTAAATATGATTTTTAAGTGCCAAAACAGCCTAAATTAAAAATGCTCCAAATTCAGACACCTTTATGCCAGGCAACTATAACTTGCAGACACACAAGAGGAATTTATGTTTGACTTGAAATGTCTTTTATGAAAGCTGGTAGCTCTAACTAGTAGATGTATTTGGTTCTGTGTAGGTGAGGAAGGGTCAGTGTGGTGAATGGTAGCTGCTAAGTCGTTAATTACGTGCACTTTTTTTTAAACCTAAAGATGTAGGTTTAAAATCATGTACAGGGATTCATTGATACAGGAATTTTTGAAATATTAAGCTCTACAGGTGGTTATAAATAGGGCAGAAAAAAACAGGGTATATTTAGCAAGATTCTTCTAATCACTAAAAAGTCAATTATTACAATTAACAAACAGCTAATTGTTATAGCTGATATTGTGGGTCTAGACTTTCTGATCCAGACCACCAGCCATGGTATGTATGTGAGAAGGACATACACATAGAGAGAAAGTTAATTCATATAAACTGATTGTCAGAGCAGAAATGCAAAGAGAGGCAGTACCTGCTTTATTTTCTACATGGCAAAGAAAAAATCTTCACCAACCAATGAGCCCTGAATCACAGGTTTTGTTTTAATGCAACGGGGATTACAAAGGACCTCAGAAATCACCTATCTTCCAAATGAGGGGACTGAGGTCTGTATGTGATTTGCCCGACATTACACAACCACCTGGAGAGCTTAGGTTGGAGAGTCAAGAAGACTGGAGTTTAAATCCAAACTCTATCACTGACAAGTTCAGTTATTCTCTGAATCTCAGTTTCCTCATTTGCAAAATACTTGTTTTGCTGTCAATTTTGCTGTCCCTGATGATAAATTTTCAAGGCTATCCCCCAGTCTACTACATCAGGGGTCAGCAAATATTTTCTTTAAAGGACCAGATAGCAAGTGTTTTAGGCTTTGCAGGCTATATGGTCTCTCTCCTGCCTAATTTGCTGCCTTTAAAGCATGAAAGCAACCATAAATAAGATGTAAATGAATGGGCTGTATTCCAATAAAACCTTATTTATGGATACTAAATCTTAGATGTCAAATAACTGTCCCATGTTACAATCTTCTCTCTTTTTTATTTTCAACCATTTCAAAATGTAAAAACACATGGTAGGCCAGATACAGCCAACAGACTCTGATCTGCTAGACTACAGGGTAAAGAGTAATACCCTTGCTGGGCCAACAGTCAAGGCACTGGAGTTAATGTACTTTTCCATGCTTGTCAACCATGATTCTGAAAACTGTCCCTTGTGTCCCAGCCAAAAGAGTTCTCACTGTTCTTCCCAATGCCAACCATGTCAGGCCCCCAAGCCTTTGCTGCTGTTCTACCCTCTGTATGGAATGTTCTTCCCCAGTTCTCCTAGTGAAATCTTACCTTCAGCCCAAATGTTTACACCTTTCTGATTATCTTCCCTACCTCCCCTCATCCTTGGTCAAAGGAAATGTTCCTGCCCACAGGTCCTGTGGCATTTTAGTTAACTACCATATTTCTATTTTTCATGAGTCTGTCTCTCCTTCCCAGGTGAAAGCTCCCTGGAAAGCCGGTAGCAATGAACAAAAATGGCAAACAGGGTGACGATGGTGGTGGTGGTGGTGGTGATGTTGATGAACTGCACGTTAACAATGATTTTCCAAATATGATTTCATTTAATCCTCACAAACAAATATTTTATAAATGAGCATCCTGAAGACCAGGAAGAAAAAGTGACTTGTTCAAGATTACAAAGATAAATAAATGGTGGAACCAAGAATCTGAAAGCACATCTTCAGACACCATCAGTCTGGCTTTGCCTGCTACACCATTACCCTTTGAAGAGCATCTAGAATCTGGTAGCTGCTCAATAAATAGTTGCTGAATAAATGGCTGAGTGAGGAAATGGATGTCGTATTCCTCTCACCAACACCTTAGCTCCACCCTGATAGGCAATATGCACACCTACCTTTCCTCCTCTGTTAGGAGCTGCTGCCTCTGGAACCACTGGATGAACTTTGGGTCCGGGGTCATACAATAGCTATTGCAGGCAGATTGTAAGAGTTTTATCTGGGCGATCACTTCAAATTCCTACAGCAGACAGAACACCAAAAAGAAAATAATAAGGCCAACCAAATAGTGTGTACATCTTTCAACATGAAAACACACCACATTAGGATAAACAATGGAGAAAAACGTCGAGGAGGACTCTAAAGTACTGCCTTTCTTAGAAGTGAAAGAACTGTGAATCGCAACTCTGAATCCCAAGTATGCTTACTTGCCAATCCTCCCTTCTTCTTGCAAAAGCAATTTATGTGAATAAAACAAGCTAGCAGAGCAACCCAAACTAGTGATTACCTAAAGCCATACTGGCTTCCTTTTTCTCTTTCATGTTTTCATTCTAAGGATAGAAAAGTTATTTTTTAAAGTTGTGTACTTCCAAAGTATATTTTAAATTTCCATTACTATGTCCTAAAAGATAAAGACAAAAATTAACTTTAAGTCAGGAGGCTCCTAAGTTCCCCATCCCCATCTTCTTCAACCCTTACTCCTCAGTAAATAAGTTTTGGTGGGGCTGAATATCTAAACAGTCTGGGGCCTCATAAACTCAAATGTTTGGATTTCCCAAATCCTTGGGTTTTTACTACTCCAGTAAATCCTTTCACTAAATCTTTTAAAGCTCACAAGAGAAGCAAGTATATAATTATATCCAAAATTATTTATACTTCTTTAGATGTTTCAATAAAGATTTTTTTTAAGTCAACAAAGGGTATAAGGTTTTTATACCAAAGCGTATAAGGTTTTAGCTTTAGGTTATATACTCAAATTTTCCAAAAGTTTAACATGCTAGTCTTAAAAGGAAAAAGAGTACCATCCAGGGTTATTCTGAAGTTCAAGGACAAAGATGGGTAACTCTCACGGCCAATAAGTAAATTTGTTTTATCGGTCCAGGACATGACAGAAGAAATTCAATGATGAGCAGATTGTGTGGGCATCAACTTCGCATCCAATGACTTCAGCTCTTGGTCTTGATATCCTCAAGGAACATTTATCGTCATGCTCTACTCTGCTAGGGACAGGGGACTTAAATTTGTCTAGGCTAGCGTATCTTGTTACTAATGAGCTCAGCCTGGTTGGCTCCTGAAGTTTTGATTTTAACTCAATGTCATTTCCTCCTTCCTCTTGGAAGTTTCTCTGGCTCTACAAGTTGGGGATCGATGCCCCTCCTAAGTATTCCTGTGATACCGTCTACTTCTGCTCACAAGCCCTATAGGCTGTATTATACCTTCCTTATTTGTCTACTTTTCCTCCTGGATTGTGAACTTTATGAGGGCAGGGGGCTCCGGGTTTTCTCTGCTACAGTCCCAAACCTATCAGAGGCTTCAACCCATGTTAGGTATGTCAGCAATTTTGATGGAATGAAAGAATGACTGAATAAGTAAAGAATAAGGAGTATTAGGGTGGGGGGTGGGGCGCAAGGGCATTATTTTGCTCATTTTCCTTTGATTCATTTCCATATTTCTTCAAACACACTATTCTAACATGAAAACCACAGTAAATTTTCAAAGTCCTGTTTTATCTTTTTCAGTGCAGTGCAAAACTATCCACAATTCTATCCACAGAAACATTCAAGTTGATGTTGAACACTCCCTTCTCATGTTGACAGGAAAGGAAAAGAATAAGCATCCACGTGTAACAGTGAAGACCCTCTCCTTTCCTCTCTCAGACCCAGAGTTCACCATCTTTATTAACTCTTTCATGTCATTTACTCTTTTGAAGCTCCTTCACCTTCACCGGGTGAACCTGTTATTGCCCAAGCTAATTATAAACAATGAGATGGGCAGGGAGGAGGGGGTAAGGAAAGAAACAGGGGCTCTGGAGCAGCAGGACAGAGCTTGTTCCTGGCTCCGCTACCAAGGGACCCTTGGTCAAGCTGAGGAAGATAAAACCTATTTTACAGCACTCCGGTGTGGGGGGGGGAGGGGGAGGTTTATACATAGAATGCACAAGGCACAATGGTATATGATAAATGCTTCATAGATGCTAATTCAAAGTTTAAGTCTCCTCTTCCCTTTTTTATGCCCAGATGAAGTGAAATGGAAAACTGCAGCCAAGACATCTACTTACCCTTCTCCTTTTCTCAAAGTTTATCAGCCCTCCCTGAAAGAAATTAAATTTAAAAAATGGTGACAAACCAACCTACTTTGAAATACAGACCTATGTTGTCCTATGTCTCATTAAAATATATCACATGGATGATAAAGTCACAATTATTAATGACACTATAATTTTGGCTCCTATGTAGGAAGAGAAGCAGCATTTGCTTCAAGAAAAACAGAGGGTACTATGCTGAGTAAAATAAGTCAGTCAGAGAAAGACAGATACCATATGTTTTCACTCATATGTGGATCTTGAGAAACTGAACAGAAGACCATGGGGGACGGGAAGGGGGAAAAAAAGTTACAAAGAGAGACGGAGGGAGGCAAACCATAAGATATTCTTAAATACAGAGAACAATACTGAGGGTTGACGAGGGGGTGAGGAAGAGGGGAAAATAGGTGATGGGCATTGAGGAGGGCACTCATTGGGGTAAGCACTGGGTGTTGTATATAAGCCAATTTGACAATAAATTATATTTTAAAAAAGAAAAGAAAAACATTCTTTTAATCATAATAGGATAGGATATGCAGACAGTCTTCTTATAAAATGTCTGAAACTGGGGTTGCCTGGGTGGCTCAGTCAACTTAGCGTCCGACTCTTGATTTAGGCTCAGGTCATGATCCCAGTGTTGTGGGATCAAGCCCCAAGTCCAGTTTCATGCTGAGCATGGAGCCTGCTTAAAATTTTCTCTCTCTGTCTCTGTCTCCCTCTGCCCCTCTCCCCTGCTCACATATGCACTCTGTCTCTGATATATATATATATGAATTAAAAAGAAAAAGTCTGAAACTAACTAAAGTAATAATGAAGGAAGTTACAATTCAGAATCCAAATATATTTGTAGAGCCAGTAAGGGCAAAAGCTTGAGTAAATGTTCCATTACACTTTATTCTTGACCCAAAGCAACAAAAACAGATGGTCATTGACTCATACTGGAAACCAAATTGTCAATGGTTTATCAAAAGGGAAGTCCCTTCCACACAGCCTCATGAAAACTTAAGTTTCAATTCTTCATCCCGTAGCTCCTGTTCTCAGCAGGCTGGATTTCACTTCTAGGGCATTGGTCACTCCCCCAAAATTCTCCAATGTGAATGAGTGTTTCCTGAGATAAGCTGAGGCAGAGAGATAGGGCTCAGGAAATGCAAAATGAATGCACATGCCCACAACAGCACTGTGGGAGGTTTGTGCAAAACAACTGCCCCGCCTTCTAATTCTGACATTCTGACGGAGGAAAAGCAGGCTCATCTCACGTGATAACCAGGGAGGGGAGGTAAACTTAGATATACAAGCAATCCTTAAATCTCACTTCAAATGTTAAATTTCTTCTCCACTTAATATTTTAGAACAGCTACCAGCAAGTAACTTAAATCTCACTTCTCTTCCCACTGAGAGAGGGAGAGAGAGCGCGCACATGCGCATGCGGGCAGGAGAAAGGGCACAAAAGCGCCTTGGGCATTTGACCGCCTTCCTACCCCACCAAGTGGAATATAAAGGCACATCACCCTTCAGGCCCATGTGCCAAAGTTCTACTCAACATAAGGTCTTTCTCAAACCCACTCCTTCACGAGGCCTTGCTACCAGACCCACATATGGACCTGAGGGTGACCTGCTCTCTCCTCTCACCGCATGTGTTTGAAATCTTAGTATTTCCAGTCACCGCCTGCTTCGATGGATAGCTCCCACTGAACAGTGAGCCACTTACTCTCCTTTGTACTCGTCACGGCGCCTAACACAGTGCCGTGTCCATAACGGGCCCTCGACAGACACCAGTTAAGTGCATTTCTCTCTTGGGTATCCAAGCCGCTGGGTGCCCACGGCTCACCTCAATGTAATCCTGAAGAGCAGTGTCCAGCATGGTCAGGTCAGTCAGGAAGGTGCCCAGGTAGGGCACAGTTCCCTGCATCACACCCTGAAGAGCAAGCAGAGCAAAACGGTCTTTGTCGTTAATGAAAAGTTGAAGGGTTTCAGGAGCCTCCGGGCTGGAGCCAATGAGCCTGTTGCTGGCCAGATTTGGCAAGTGACCATTCACAGATGGAAGCAGCAGCCTCTGAATGGCCGATGAGCTTTGACAACATCTGGAGAAACATTAATGTCCATTCAAGACCTGACTTGGGGCCATTAGTGTTAACCTCCATGAGTGACATTTTCAAAAATTTTAAAAAGGACAGGTATTCTATCACCTAAGCTCTAACTTTCAAAGGTATGTAAACAAGCTCAGCGCCAGGAGATCACACAAGTATGCTCAAGGGTGTTCACAGAAGGATTCCTATTGTGTGTAGGCTGTTCAAGGGATGCCGTTCGTTTCTCTTCAGAGTGTGTGGATACTCCTGGTGGGGTGCAATGGGCTCGCCGTCGGTAAGAGTGGAGCGCTGCACACTGAAGGAGAGGGTTCGCCACATGACAGCGGAGTGCCACTATTAAGATGGCCTCTTGGGCTAGACTTTGTGGCTCACTTCCAAAGAACAGAGGTGGGGAAGGGAAACATAACTTCAAAGTGGAAAATCCAGCAAAATACTACTTTAACCAACTGATGAAGGTTCACATCACCAGTGACACCAGATGTCACATGCTCCTTGATATGATGTGATGAGAACGGCACTTTGCTTCTCTCATATTCTCCCCCCAAGCCCGTGACCTCAGCGTAGAAAACAACCCAGACACACTCTGAGTGTGGGCCCTTCTAAGGATAACAAGACAGTATTCCTTAGGACTGTCAAGGTCATGAGAAACACGAGAGACCAAGAAACTATCACAGAGCAGCAGAGACCGGGGAGGCAGGTCTGCTAAATGTGGCGTGGTTCCCTGGCCACGCTCCTGGGACAGGAAGAGCATGCTAATGCAAAAGTGATGAAACTGAAATCGAGTCTGGCTTTTAGTTCATGTAGCACGCAGGTGTTGGTGCCTTAGCGTCAACAGATGGGCCACGTAACCATGTTATGTGTTAACAATCGGGGAAGTGGGGTGAGGGCTTTGCAGAAACTCTATGTATTATCCGGAACTTTTCTGTAAACTCCATAATAAAAAGTTCATTTTTAATAAAATTGTCCCTTGGGAATGAAGGTAGACTCACTTCAACTGCAGGTATACACAGAATTGATTTCACCACATTTCCTTTGGAATCAGGTTAATTCTCCATAAGGCCACTGAGGCACTAACCACTCTAAAGAGAAAATAAAAAGGGGCTTGCACGGACCCCTGCTCCTCACTTCCGCTTAGGCAAGTATAGAAGTTCTGGAAGAAAACAAAGTCTCAGGCAGGGCAGGACCAGGTTGCTCCATGTGAGGCTGGCTGTCTTCTTGGCCAGAGCTGCTGGCAGAGGTTCACCTCGACGACCTGTTCTCGGAGGCAGTTTGTCCTTCCCTGTTATGAGCACAAGGTCTCATCCTGAACTAAAATAATCCTTTTTTTAGTAGCTATTTTTAACTTATCTTCAGACAACCAAAAAAAGTCTGAAATGCTATGAAATGTTTTACCGGCTTTATGTTACAGAGGAGTCCTATCACTCAAACACAGCGTTCCTGATTTATGTCTGACCTTCGGAAGAAGGAGAAAGGCTGTTGGTCTTTCATCTCCTCTCTGGTTTTCTCCCTTGTGCGCTAAAAGGAGAGTTTTTAAAAATAAGGCTAAAAACAGTAACTATCTCTCAGTCTTAAGGAGGGAGGTATGCTACTCCTTTGAGTATTGAAAAACTAGAAAAAAAAAGGAGGGGCCCGGTTAGTCCTTAGGATTAGTGTGGAAAGCTGGAATATGGACAGAGGGTTTGGAACAAAGGAAAAGATCTGCCGGTACATGGACCAAATCTTCCTGGGAGCACTTTCCGCAGCACCCACGTCCTAGGCCACCGTGTGTCCAAAGTTGATTGAGCAGGCATTCCTGTTGGGGAACTGAAGCCCAGGAGGTCTCAAGGCCAAGGTAGCTGCGGCCTCCAAGTGCAGAAGTGGATGGAAGAACACAGCAAGAGGGAAGGGAGCCTCCCTGAGGCAGACTTTGCCTTAACTTACAAAGACTTTGCCTTGTTCTACAAGAACAAATGCTCCAGAGAATGCTAGGATTTGTGACTATTTCCCACCTGGTCAAATGGGAGCGAGAGTGACAATCTGTCTCCTACAGACCTCTCCAAAGGATGGAGAATATTCTTGAAAGCGGGGGCATCCTGCAGACGGGACGTGCTGGGGCCACGCAGAAGCCCCTCCCCCCCCACAGGGCTGCTTTCTGAGGGACCCTCAGGGAAGACCACGGGCCGTACGTACCATGTCCTTCTGGAGCTGAAGCCTCCTCTGAGTCCGCTTCTGGTTTTCCTTCACACTGCTGTCCAGGTTTGCAAATTTTGAGGTTCCTTCCTAAGAAACAGAAGCACATGGACAGCAGAGAGTGATGGAGGAGGACACTGGAAAGAAACGCAGGGGCCTCTAGTTTCTGGTACGGAACCTGTGCACAAACACTGGGTGCCTTGCAAGACGAAGAGGCCTCCGGCAGGCTCTGGGCTGAATAATATACGTGTTTGGCTGGCTTGCCGCAAGTGGTCTAATTGCAATAAGGTCTGCTGGTCTCAGATTATCCTGTTTTCCCCCTGCTTTGTAAGAAGAACCCTGCTTTTGGTGATAACATATAAGGTGGTCAATATAAGGCAGGCAACTCCCAAACCGGGAGACAATTTTTACGTGTCCTGAATTTCACTCAGAGCAATCACATGTCCTGGAAATGAAGATCTCTTCCTCAGTACATTTTGTGATTTCTTGATCTGGGCCTGAAATACATGTGCCAGCATTCTGTGAAAGAAAAGGGATTATTTCTGTGGTATTTCTTAGCTGAAGGAAACTTTTGTACCGGAAGTTTTCTGAGGAAGTCCAGTATCATGGTGCAGCACTAATCTATGAAAGCCAGACCCTCACATGTCCCCACCCCCCATTTTTCTCCACCAATCCATCCTCCCAAATTGTTTCTCAGGTTTAAGACTCTTACAAGTCAATCCTTTGTCCTGGCGCCTGAGGACGGATGCCTACCCCTTTCTCTCCTCCTGTCTGTTATTACAACAAACTCTTCCACAATAGTGACTAAACCCTACTTTGCTGACTGAACACAGTGTTTTTGGTTTTGTGGTTTCAGGGTCTTTTTAAGTTCTCATTTTCCAGGAACTGTATGAATGGGAGGCAAATTTCACAATTTAGTTGGGTATAAGCTCTACAGTAGCTTTTCCTCAGTCAGTCTTCCCGGGGTTTATAATATCACCATAGCACGTGACCTTTCCCTACCACAGGCTGCAAGAGCATCTTCTGCAGTGACCTGGCCTTTCTGATGTCAGCGAGGCACCAGTATCCTCTATCATTCACCAGCCCTAACCTGGGTCCAGAACCCGCAGTGACTCATGATCTATTGTAATTCTCCCTATTATGAATGATATTGAGGAGCAGTATCATTTAATGAACTCCTACTTATAGTTTTTCCTAAGGATGAATGAAAGCAGCCTAAAATGAGCCATTTTCCATGCACGGTGGTGATGAGCCCTCCTGTATTCTGGAGACTTTGCTTGCAGTGAGAAATGATTTCTGTCTGACTTGACGGCAAGTGGCCATCATCCCTATACTGTGTGAGTCCCTCTGGTTCGCTTCCAGTTTCTCAATCATGTGTGGAAATTACTGAAGATACACCTAAAATTCTTCAGAAAAAATAAATAACTAAATAAAAAATTCTTCAGAAGGATTCCTGACAGATTAAAAGGCTCCTGCGAGCCACAGAATAGCAGAGACGGAGGGGGGGCAGAGGGGAGCGGGGGCGGAGGGGAGCGCTCAGGACAGGCTCCCTGCTGGGAGGAGAGCCAACAGATTTGCTTATTTCATGACTTGATGATTTCTAGAGTGAGATTCCACTCCCGGCTGGGTAACTGAAGAGACTGACTGGTGACAGCTCTCCCAGATGAGACGTCCACTGAACACCCACTATTTGCCACATCAAATGGTGTCAGTTTTCTCCTTCTTTGCCCCAAATCCTTTGCTCTGCAGCTCTTGCGGTCCCAAGATCCAGGATGATTTGGTGGCATTCTGCTTTCCTACTGCTTTAAAAAGTATGGACTCTACAATTCATCCGCTCAGAGTTATCAAAGTTCCAGAAATCATAAGGTGGTAACAGATTTAAGATCATTTTTGAGGGGAGCCTGGGTGGCTCAGTCTATTAAGCACCTGACTTTTGATTTCAGTTCAGGTCATGATCTCATGGTTTATGAGTTCAAGCCCATTGAGCTCTGTGCTGACAGTGCAGGGCCTGCTTGGGATTCTCTCTCCCCCTGCCCTCTCTGCCTCTCCCCCTCTCATACTCTCTCTCTCAAAATAAATAAATAAATGAATTTAAAACAAAGATAATCTTTGAGGAAAGTAAAAACATTTTTTCCAACACTTAAAATGAAAACCTTAGATTTCTACTAATTCTAATGATATCTCTGCCATAATAGCATAGAAGTGGAACATGACATCTACCCAGAAGTTGAAGAGGAGACAGGTCTTTAAGACTAAGATTACCCATGTGTAAATCATGTTAGAAACAGAGTCCAGCCGTTTTTCTCAGTGGTTCTTTTGAGAACCTAAGTACCTGATTTCATTTTTTTTTTTTTTTTACAACTGTGCTGAGAATTAACACTCAGAAATATATACTTCGTATGAAGAATGATCAACAAAGGTGACTGGAAAGGGACCTACATATACATATGGCCTGGCCAGAACATTACACTATCGTTAATGATAATGCACAGACCACATGAATTCATGGCCAAGTTTTTCATTTCTTTGGGACTGGAGCCATGTATAAGAAAAGTTAACGAAGAGCACTAGGGAAAACTTCTACATGCAAGAAAAGTTTACAGGACCTTTAATGTCTAGATACAGCTTTGCTTCTAAGGTTTCAGCCAGAAGGCACCAAGCAATCAGCGGCACAGCGTTCAATTTATCTACACTGGAAGGATGACTCAGAGCTATTGGGATTTGAATATGTGGCTCCAGTTAGTCTAGCTTTCTATTACTGACAGGGAGACCACTAAGCCATCTCCTTCCAGCCAGATGAGTTTCCATTTAAAGTCTGCAAATCCAGGGGGATGTGAAGCAGAGAGTAACACAATCCCGGCAAGCACTGTCCAGTGTGCAGTTAATCAGGTAGGCCAAAGTCAGAGGCAGACGTCAGCAGAAACTGCCCTGCTCATATCACCTACTCCAAGAAGGGCTAAGGGCGGGCAGGTTCTTAAAGTCATGGGACTCACAAGGCCCACCAAGTCATGCAGCTGAATGTAGTTTCTGAACACTTGCTGTCTGCCAGTCACCGTGTTAGGCATTAGGGATAGAACAGTGAAAATACAAACGCAGTCCCTGCCTGCAAGAGGCTTTCAGGCCAGCGGGGAGATAGGCTGAGTACCCAGCAGAGTCCACAATGAGACCTGAAGGAAGGGGAGGACTTAGAAGGACAACAGTCAGGAAGACCATAACAGATGCCCTGACAGTTATCAAGGGGATGCCTCTTCTTAGCAGCCCCACTGCCACTAGGCTCACATCCCTACTCCAAGCGCCTGCCGTAAGCTTGCACATGTAGCACACACTTTATTCGCGTTCATTTTTCATGCATACTTTAGCTTCATATTGTGCACATAGCATGCCAAGTACTACAAACACATTTGCATAGTGCTTTCAAATATTTTATTTTAGTCAATCTTCAAAACAATTCTATGAGGTCAGTGGACTAAATACTCTTATTGTCTCCAATTTAGGGAGACAGGGCTTCCCCCTAGGGTAATGCATATTATATGATTTTATAATTGTCTACTTCTCTGCCTCCTCCATGAGACTGTAATCTCTTTAAGATCAAAGACTGCCTTCAGTGTGGTTGTACCTCTGATGCCTAGTATATAATGAATGTTCAGTCAAGAGTTGTTCAATGACTAATTTACCTTCTCTGTGAAGTTTTCTCTGATCTACCCTGTCCCCTACTCCTAAGTGGTAGAAAGAGACAGTTTCATGGCTAAGTGATAAAAACACAGGTTTTAGAGTCTCACCAGGCAGGGTTCACATTCTAGCTCCACCACTTACCAGGTGTGTGATTTAAGAGATACTATTTACCTCTTTGAGTCTTGGCTATCTGCAAAACAAGGATGATACAATCTACTGTAGGCTTTTATCTGCCGTAAATTTCTAGAAAGGCTGTGAAGATAGTATCTGGCCTATGTTCCCTTCTGATGATTCGTCACAACCTATTATTTGTACCTTTACTTGACTATTCTTGTTTAGTGTCAATATCCACCACCCAGAGGGTGAATTCTTGAAAACAGGGTCTGTGTTGGTCACCTTCATATTCCTAGAGGCTGCTCCAATGCTTAACGAATATTGGACACTCAACAAATGTCTGAAGAAATAAAATAAACCAAGCTATACTTTTACCTGCCTGTAGTTCGGAAGTCAGCACTCACTTGGTATTCAGTAAGTATTGCTGGTGGACTGTGCAATTTAGTCCAAATAAAGGATGTGGAATTGCAGGCTTGGCCTCTGTCATTGTAGAAAATGTTCTGCTGAGAAGGGATATTCCAGGGCCTCTCACCCACCTATCTGCAGAGTAGCTCAAAGAGATACACACAGGAGCACAAGTTTCACATTCTGGTTGTGTAACCGGGAGGCCGAGGACCTGGACTTCCAGTTTTCTCAGCCCCAAGCTCCTTAGATTTGGCATAATAAACCAAATCTCTGCCTTCTAGTCCCTTCAGGCTTTCTCACGGGACTGGAGGAATGTAAGGAGCCCTCAAGTCACTCTCGCCTTGAAGGGATTCCAGAGCTGAGACAATGTGACCCAGCACCCCCACCAAGAGACTCACCTTCATTAGGAGTTCCCGGCTGGTCAGATGGTTATTATGGTCAGAGAAGATATCTGAAAGTTCTTCAAACATCAGCATCCGGTCCCTGTGAGAGGGGTTAAGAAAATATTGACAAATAAAGAGTCAGCGAAAGTCCCACACCTTGGGCCCTGCACTCTCACTACCTGTGGCTCAAGAGGCAGTACACTGATCTCAGGATCACCGGACCATGTGAGCGCAGATGAAGCCAATGACTTTGTTCATAGAGGGTGGCTTTTTTTAAGGTAGACATGGTCACCTATGTGAAGAGCGGGATTTTTCTAACTATATACATTATAATCATAAAAAAGGATCATTAAATTGGGGCATCAAGTTGTTCAAATGGGACACGTCCTTTAAAAAGAGATCTCGGGCTCCTGGGTGGCTCAGTCAGTTAAGCATATGGGTCTTGATTTTGGCTCAGGTCATGATCTCAAGGTTGGTGAGCTCGAGCCCCACACTGGGCTCTATGCTGACAGCACAAAACTGGCTTGGGATTCTCTCACTCCCTCTCTCTCTCTCAAAATAAATAAACTTAACAATTTTTAAAAATTCTATCTCAGAATACACACAGAGCCCAATGGGACCTGAGAATCATGTTGGCCAGGGTCAGGGACTTACCCACATTTCTACTGCTAAGTGTTGAGAATGGCAGGTATAGAACCCAAATTTCCTGAATCACAGGCTGGTGCTCTCATCTCAGAGTCATAATAGATGGAAGCAGAACAGGCTGTGGTCAGGGGAGTGGGTTCAAATCCCCACTCTGCCACTCACTCCCCAAGAGATCGTGAGCAATCACTTAACTTTCTTAGGCTTCCATTTTCTTACCTATACGATGACAATACTAAAAATCCTTCTGAAAGACTGCTGTGAAGTCAGAAGAATCACACATGTGTAGTGCCTACTCTGCCTCTTCTAGTACACAACAGCTCCACGAGACTCACGCTTTTCTCTGCACTCCTCCAGGGTTAGTGAGTGGGGGACTCGGAGGGCAAAGAATTAATGAGGCAATATCACTCTATAGGCAGGATTCCGAGATCATGAGAAAGCCACTATTAACTTACTTGTTTTACAGTGAGTGTAATGTCTTATTATAATAAAGAAAACTGGTAAAGCTATTTATATTTTAGAAGAAATAATTAAGAACTTAATTATATGTGGGCCTACATAAAGAGAAATAAATAGATGTCTTCTCTGTCCACTGAAAGTTATTAAAATAAGTGATTATAGGGAAAGTGATAACCAAATAAGGTATCTTAACCCTGTCCCTTGAGTTTAGCAATGAAAAACATGGAAAGCTGGTATGAAAATGTCTTCTCTAGAAACGGTGACACTTCTGTAGCTAAAACATAAACCAACCAAGAAACAAACCAGACACCCACACCGTATAGAATGTGGCTTTGAGGTCTGTTTTGTGGTGAAATAGTTTACAAAGCCAGCTGAAAGAATGGACCTTCTCTTATGGTAACCGAGAGATGAAGCTCCAACTCCACTAACTTTTTAACTTGGGTTTTAGCCTCAAATTTGCTGTGGTGGGAACCTTTGGCTAAGTGACTTTCCACAGTGTGCTATTTATCAAGTACCAAAGAAAAACAGGATGGCCTCTCATTGCCATCAGGCACAGGTGGTATTTTAGCACCTGACCATCTCTTTGTTTTTGTTTTTGACACCACAGTTGGGGAGCAGTGGCGAGGGCAAGGAGAAGGCTGGGGGCTACTGAGCATGAGAACTCTGAGCCACATTTGATTTCCCCCCTGTATTTTACCAAGGCCTGTCATCTAATGATTTTATAACACCCATATCTCTCATAAGATTTATATGCAAAGGAAAACCAATTAATCTTTCACCTACAGAGACAGCTTGATTATTGGAAGTAATGGAGAAGAGAAAGAACCAAGAAACAAGCGGCAATCAAAAACATTGCATTGGACTTTGAAAAGCCTATCTGCCAGGTCTTCTCCTGGTAGATAACAGTATTATACACAGAGCATGAGCTTTGGAGTCTCCAAGTGGCTGTGGCTTCTACAGCTCTGTAACACCAGACATTACAACCACCCACTTCAAATTTTTCTGCTGGCTCATCGAAGATTTATGTCGTAAATAATTTGACTTCCCCCAAGTAGACTTTCCTCTGACTGAGAATATGAGCCCACTGGTATGCACTAATTTTTCAGCATAGATTTATGAAATCCGGGTTTACCTATCTGGGTTCTCTTGCACATTTGGATAGTGTCAAGTCACTTAGGGCTTAGTCAGCTCTGAGTGAACTCATGAAACCGAGTACCTAGACTTTCCACTCTTAAGGATCAAGACCACCAATTTCACAAGGGCAGGCCTGCCTGGGGAGCCGGCTGGCCCCTCTCCTGGCTGAAACTGACTATCCTACATACAGTATAGACTGTAAACAGTTTACACATTCTTTCCTGATACGGCCTGCCTCCTTGATTAGTTCAAACCTAGGTAGACCTGTTGAATGTAATTGGCCTCATTTGTAGCCATGACACATTCCCTGGCTTCTAAAGCTGTGAGGATAGGGAACCGGAGCTGCCTCCTCATTCCCCTTTCCCTCCTTTGCAGAAAGTTCTCTAGGGGAATAAAGACAGTGAAACAATAAGGACATTATATTGTTCATTGTCCCGAAGGTTACACCAAGAAATATGAAGAAAAACAATATAAACCATGGCCAGTTAATAATTTTAGTGAGGTCCCTAGGAAGTGACACTTCGGGATTTTTAATATCACTAAGAGAGCATTTAAATATGCTGAAACAGAAGTTAAGTAAATAGATGCTTGCTGAAGAGCGAGAGCTAGTGTCCTATCTGCACACATGTTCTGTCACATCTTGGGACAGCTTAGGGCTTTGGAATGTGGCTGAGAAAGAACCAGAAGGAACAGCCACACTGCTGTAACTTCATCACTCCACACACTTACCCTTCGGACTCTAGATAATAAGCACATCCTTCAAATCATCCCCAAAGCCAATAAATACTCTTGATGTTGGTGCACTTCGCAGATGAGTCTGACTTCTGCAGCAGCTCTGCCTAGAAACCCATTACTGATTATGTGTAAAGTGCGCCCTGCCTGGGACACACAGAGGCTTTCAAATATGCTTCTCTAGATACAGAATACGGGCTTTGAAGGCAAGGACCCATACCATTTATACAGCGACTAAGTCACCCCAGCCAAAGAAAGCAGAGCGGACACTTGGGAACTTACTTCGGGACGGAGGCCCAGGTCTTTTTTAACCTATAGATGGAATTGGACTGCAGTGCTGAAATGATGGCCCTCAAGGAAGAAAAATTCTTCAGGATTCTACATTCCTGTATGGAGGGTGATTAAAACATAAAAGGCATTTTAAATATCAATAATACTGCGAGTTGGTGGTTTCCTGTTTTAGAGGTATCACAGCTGCTATGAATTCTTACCACTAAATAGGCAGCTGTATAAATACTGAACATCAAAAAGCGGCTCCTTACTCCCACCCCAGTCACCGAAACACTTTATAGGTTTTGGCACCATACGCTTGTTTTTCTCCCTTTAATATATTTTTTGCGTTGTTGTTATAGTTTTATGGTTTCCAGCTTTCCTCGTAAAAACACGAATGGAGGGGAGTCTGCAGGGGTATGCTAGGGAAAGCAAACTTTCTTCTGCTGAAAGCATACAGATGCCCTAAAAACACACAGGAAAGATCACTGTATCCTTAAGACCCACAGTGTGAGCCGGGAAGCGGCCACCGGGAGGTCAGATGGTATCGAACATCTCATGACCGACCCTTGCCCAGAGAGGTGTATATAACTTGGCAATAAACATTCACCACAAGTTGAACTTTGGCTTTCACACTCTTAGCCAAGAGGGAATATTTTTATACACATGCATTTAGTTTCAAATTGGCTTGTACCACAGTCATAAACATTCAGAAACACCTTGGTACTTCACTGTTTCCAAAATAACCTGAGCTTTTAAAATGAAATTCATTTTGGCAGCATTTTAGAACAAAATCAAAGAGGACAGGAAATATTCTGGCTGTCATTTTCTGGGTAAGGAGAAAGGCTCTCTGATCCTGAAACTTAAGCTACCGCGTGGAGTGGCTAGCCTCAGCTGCCAGTGACCCTGGGGTCAAAGTCCTGCCTCATGAATGGCTGGACGGGGAAACAATGAGGGAGGGAGAGAGTCCCATTCCTGGCACCACGGGGAGAGTGCGCTATGCCTTATGTCAAAGGAGAGGTTTCATATGCAGGCATTTGGGAGTGTAATCTATCCGCTGCTTAGGACTGAGTACACCGTGTGGGCACGGGGTTGGCTTTGTGCAAAACATCTGAGGCAAGAAATCTCAAAACGGTAGGGCAGAAATGCGCATTGCTTAGAAGGTCATTTCATGAAGTAATGCTAATCCTGACTAGGAAGGAAAACCAGCATTCTCTAACTTGGCTTGCCAAATTCTGGCTACTTAAAACCACGCCAAACAAACAAAGTTCCGAACATTTTTTTTCTTAGAGTATAGGCCAAAGTATTTTACAAAAGTCATGCCCACTCTTTTTAAATGGCTCAACGCCCTCCCCTTGTTTGAAAAGAAAGAGCGAGAGCGAGAGAGAGTGAGAACGAGAGAGAGAGCACACTCTGAATTATAGTCAGTCTGGAAACCCAAACCCATGAGAGCATGGTTCAGCAAAGGTTCAGAATCCAAAAGTCATGCTCCAAAAATCAAGAAACTTGCAATAAATAAAGGAAGTCAGGCACAGATATTTCATGCAAATTGTAATAAACATATGGAACACATTATTCAGAAAGAGCCTTAAGCTAAGGGTTTTAAAGGAGTACAAAAGAGATTTGGCCCCATTTCTAGAAAGGGAGGTATCTTCCAGGAGATGTGATGCAAAAGAAAGATGAAAACATAGAGGCAAGGCCAGTCCAAGGAAATATAATCACATTTGGTCACAAATATTTTCTATGTGTAAAATTATTATTGTTTTTTTCAAATATCCTCTCAATAGAAATTGACTGTGATTAATGCACGAAAAGTAAAATAAATCTTGGCAGGAAACCACCTATGAGTTTCGTTATTTTATTAAATTATTCCACACAATTTCAAGGGACATAATGTCCTCAATATTAGGAAACTACATCACCAAGAGCAAGGACCCCTGGCTTTTAAACACGTGCTATGGAATTTGGAATGTACCTCAAATTGTCCTACCTGGATTTCTTATTATCACATACATGCACAATTTATATTTAATATGGACCAAAAGTCATTGTTTGAGCCACACTGTCATACACACAGAGGCTATATTCTTGCTACAGACTTTCTAAGTAGTTGAATGGATTAAAGGAAATGGCATCTATGGCAAAAAAGACATATTTTCTTATCATTCTGAGAATGGGAGGAATTCCGTGCTTTCTTCCACTCTATCAGAACTTCTTTTTGGATCTCTTGAGAAATTAGCTCAATTCAGAATAAGGGATATTCTGTAATTGTAAGATACTGTTTTCTTACTTTTTCATATAGTGAAAAGTCTGTGGTAACCGAACACCTAAAAATTCAAAGTAAGGCAGATCCTCTAGCACGATTATGGCCCTGCTCTCTGATCAAAGATAACACAAGAAAAAGTAAAAGAAAAAGAAAGAGCGTGTGAGTGTGAAATTTTAAGCATTATGCCCAAAACAGGAGGGCTAAATGAAAAAAAAAATATACACTGGGACAGAAAGCAAATGTTGTGGTTGAGGGTTGACCCCCATAACCCAGAACATGGACTAATAAGATATTTACATATTAATTATTATTCAAAGTTGTTGTTAATTACATAGCTTTTACTGATGTAATTTCTTCGGTCTAGGAAAAAAAAAATCTGACCCAATCTTCAAATACCAAAAGTTCTATCTAGTATTAAAGCTAAATCCAAAAGCCATTCTATCCATGAAGCCTTCCTCAATCCCCCCAGTGAGAAGTGACTTCTTCTCCATCCCCTCTCTCTGCAGCTAATCTCAGAGGGCTCCACTCCTCTTCTGCTCAGCTGGGAGCATTCCTGTATATCTCAGAATACCTTAGCTTCCTTGTTTGACAACAGGCTCCAGAAGATTACATTAATTGTGCCTATCCTAACGATGGCCCCACATTACATAGTACTGTGGCGTATGTGTATTTAGAAGTGCATGAAATGTCTGGTGACCAACTGACTGAATACTGTTTACCTTTCCTCAGTCATGAAGATACTGATAAGCGAAGGTCATATAGTATGTAAACAGCTGACCCAGAGCCTAGGCCAGCACTCAGCAGAATGTAATTCAGGCCTAGGAGTAAACTCTGCCCTTCCACCTTCAGATAGATAGAAGGTCCTCAGAAAAGCCCCAGGTTAATGTGAAATCTGGGTACCTCAGTGCTTTCGGAAAGAGATTCAGAATTCTGAGAAGGTACCAGCTCTTCAAATCTGCAGAAGATGTAATGCTTCTGGAAGCTGGGAGGGTGCCTAGGTAGGTCACCATTCAGTGGTGAAGAGTATCGGTTTGGCACTTGGACCATCAAGTTATATTTACTGAACACGGGCCAGAAGTGACACTCTGTTTGTGAATGTAAGGGGAAGTGCAGACAGATGTCTCACCCTGGAGATGCAGCAGTGTGCAGGCCCATGTGCTGAAAGTGAGCAAGGGACCAATTTTCTTTCAAGAGGAAAAACAGGGGCATCTAGGTGGCTTAGTCAGTTAAGTGTCCAAATTTGGCTTAGGTGATGATCTCATTGTTCGTGGGTTTGAGCCTGCAATGGGGTCTGTGCTGACAGCTCAGAGCCTGGAGCCTGCTTCCGATTCTATGTCTCCTCTCCCTCTGCCCCTCCCCCACTCGTGCTCTGTCTTTCTCTCAAAAATAGATAAGCATTAAAAAAAAATAAAAATAGGGGCACCTGGGTGGCTTAGTCGGTTAAGCGTCCGACTTTCGCTTAGCTCATGATCTAGCGGTTCATGGGTTCGAGCCCCGCGTCGGGCTCTGTGCTGACTGCCAGCTCAGAGCCTGGAGCCTGTTTCAGTCTGTGACTCCCTCTCTCTCTGACCCTCCCCTGCTCATGCTGTCTCTCTCTCTCTCTCTCTCTCCTAGAAATAAATAAAACATTAAAAAAAAATTAAAATAAATAAATAAATAAAATAAAAAATAAAATAAAAATAAATGAAGAGGAAAAATAAACTTCTATTTAAGAAAGACAATTTTTTTTCTAACTTTAGAAGAATAACAACAGCAACAAAAACCCAGTGGGCCTTCACATATGTCATTTGATGGTCTTTCAGCCAAATGGATCGACCCATTTAAAGAGAGAGATGGAATAGTCTCCAATATCTACTGAATACAAAGAATATTTTTAAAACGATAATTACATGAGCAATGTTAATCCACTTCTCGATGACTTTGGCTCTCTGCTGAGTTTTGAGTTCTTTGCCACCCAGGATGGTGCTGACAACACATTTGGTGAGGGTGTTAAACTGAGAGATGGTAGCACGGATCGTAGGAGCCAAATGTTTGTTTTCCTTCTTATCCCTTTGAGACCAAATGCAGCCTAGGCAGTGGTGAGGCACTACTTTCTTGAATAGTTGCTAGAACAGAAGAGAAACTCAGTTTAAGGACAACACAGACATTTCACATGGCAAAGCACATAGTCTGGGTCATCTGTGAATTGGTATTTTGTAAATGGACAAACAACCCTTTTCTACTTAATTTGCCTCGCCTCATGGTGTCTATTTCAATGGACAAAAGTAAATAATTAATATATTAACTGGTCAGAAAAGCCCATGTGTTCTTTCTCAATCTGCTCAACTAAACAAATGGAACACAATGGCCAAAAGAAAATTTAAATGACCAAGAACATTCTGACTTTTCTATCTTGAAAGACACTATAGATTTTATATAGTATAAAAATCTATACTACTGATCAATAAAAGGGTGGGGGGAGGTGGTTCTGACCTCAAAATCATATACACGGTACATTCTACACGCTCATGACCGTGAACTGTGTATAATGCACTGGGATGCCCAGTGACCATCTGGTAAGTGACCCGAAGCACCGTGCATGTGATGGTGTCATCAATGTCACCATTTCATGTGATTTTTTAAACGAAGAAAGTAAGCATTTGCAAGGAAAAACTATTCAACATCACACAGTAAAAGGAAAAAAAGAGGAACGTAAAGCCTGGTTTCCAGGTCTTTGCCTAAAAGTCATAACCAATGAAGTTTCCGGTCTTTCTTTCACGCAATCAACTGTGGAACAAAAACAAAAGCAAAATAGTTGACTAAATGGGACTCTCATCTGTGTGGCAATTCAAGACAAGACATGTAAGGGTTTCTATAAAAGAGAGAACATCGGGATTTACTTTATGTAGACTATCTGATTTGCTTCTGATAGTTTATTTGCATGCTCACTAGATGGAAACTGTCACTTTATTTGCTGCTTTCTTCAAAGTGATAAGTGTAGAAGAGTTCAAACCATCATGATAATTTATAATAGTCTATTTAGCAGCTAACATTGAGCTATGACAAGTGACTGATGAGATCAAATATGCATGGCTAACAAACTTCAGGAAAGTACAGGAAACACACACGGGAAAGAACTGCCAGATGCAGTCACATTACTTTATCCTAATTTATACTTTGACCGCTTCACAATCCTCCAAATAAACAGTTCAGATCCTGAAATATTTATGAGTCTAGAGGGAGAGAAATACCCACGGAACAGGATAGATTTTGTTTCACGAGAATTAGAATTCTTACTTCCCTCTGCATATCGAGTGCCAAGTAAAAAGCACCTTCACCCAGCTTTTCAAGAAGAGTTTAGGCCTGAATTATTCAGATGATTGATTCAAATCACATCTTCACTCTGCATTTACAGGCACAGCCTCTCCCAGGGATTTGAAAAGACTTAAATCATATCACCCCACTGCCCTCCCCAGCCCACAGTATCGTCACTCCCCACATTTTAAGCAGCAGCACAGCTGAGGCACAAAGGGAAGACCTACAGCGTCCATGTAAGTCAGCTGCTCTGCCACAAGGTCTTCTGGGAAGCACGTGAATTCTGCGGACCCTCCACCTTCCGGTTCCTCTTCCTCTTCCAGGCTGAAGAAGACGGTGTTGGGAAACCCATCTGTTCACAGGTGGAAAGAAAAAGTAGTCATTTGGTGCCACTGTTTATGACCTTGTTAGTAGAGTCAAACCGAACTTCCTTCATTTAGAAAGAAGAGGGCGAATCCTTCAGAAAACCCACGGGGAGAAAACAGTAAGCACAATTAATCTGAGTGAAATGGAGGTCTTCTAAATCTCTGTTTGTCCTTAGATTTTTTATTAAGTTCAGAGGCCTCATGCTATCCCTTTCATAAACCACTGATAGCTAAGCCAGGTCAGGCAAAGTCTAGAAGCAAAGTTGGGATACATTCCCTCATCTTGGGCTCCCTCATACCCTCTGCTCAGCTTAAGGACTAATCAAGCTGCTTCCTAAGCCCCAACTATGTGATTCTGAATCACTGGCCATTTGTAACCAGAAACCTGGAAGGAGTGGGCATGAAAGCAGGCCAGGCACTGGGTAGCAGAATGGGACATTTTGGTGTCAGAAATGCTGATGAAATCCTCAGATTTCTAAGAAAGTCCTTAGAATCTACTCAAGATGTTTGGAGCTACTTTGAGTTTCCACCTGAAGTTAAGTTGTGTGTGAAATAGAACCTGAAACTAAATTCACCTGAGCTTTATTTTGGACAAGATCATCAATTAGCAAATTACACAGAGCATAGACTGAGGAAATGAGGGGGGAAAAGTCACTGTAATAACTACCTGGAGACCAAGTCAAAAGCTGAAGGACTCAGCACATGGAGTCGGAACTCCAGACTCCATTTTGAAAGAGTGTGGAATTGGATGAAGTTTCGTTTGAAACCAGCTCCCCTTCCCCAGAACCTGTCCTGGGTTGGTTTCCAACCCCATCCCCCACCTCCTGGCCTTCACACTCCTTGCTCTCCTGTTAACTCTGTTCTCAACAAAGCAAAAACAAAAACAAAAACAGCTAGTTGCATTCAAGCCCTATCTTAGTAGAAATGTAAATCTGTGTGTTTCTACTCCCCCAGAATGTGTACATTTTAGGCTTTTTCTCTTTTCCTTTGTAGAATAAGACTTTGAAGCATCTCGGATCAAGTTGAGATGGCCTTTTCTTAGTTTTCCAGGGGAGGGGTGCCGAGGGTGGCCCCCGCCTCACTCCCCCGTCACAGCACCGCGTGGATGCTTGCCCTTGCCCACTCTGGTGAGAGGTATGTGATTTAAGGATGGCCCCCTCCCCCTGCAGCTGAACCGAATGATGTGAATGGGGCTGGCCTAGAAGTGGGAGGGGAGGGCTGCCTGACTTCCAAGGCTGGAACACAAACAGGCATGCCTTTAAAAAAAAAAAAAAAAAAAAAAGCAAAACCTAAAATGCTATGATTTCACCACTCTGCCTCCGCACATCTCTGGTACTCTCCAGTTCAGTGGAGGAATAAGACATTTGAGATCCCAAACAAAGGTTCAGAATGGGCTTCTCATCCCTTCTGCTAGCTACTATATAATCTATCCCACTCACTCTGCATTGCAGAAGCTGACCCACGCCAGCCAAAGAGGATGTGTGGTTAAGGTCAGAGCCTCTCATTCATTCAATAAACACTCACGGCGACCGCTGTGCGCCTTGGAGGCTGCTGTGCGTGAGGATTACGTAGCCCTTTCTCTCTGGGGCCTAGGCCATGCCTTCACTGTGTCTGCCTTTGACTCTCTTCCAGAGGGAAGTAACTAAAACCTTGAAGCAAACTTTTACCTCTGAAAAACAATGTAGGAAAACTTTTGCTCTGGCCAGCATGAAATTGGGCAAAATAAAATAAGCCCATGAGAACCAAGCTCCTAAAACTCCTTTTCACTGATGACCGCTGTGCTTAATAAACAGAGGTTAGAGCTTGCTCGATTCAGATTTTCCAAACTCTGAAAAAAATTCATTTTCGAGCATTGCCGAAAAGCCTTTCTGAAGTCAGGCAGTCTCCCTCTCCCCTGCCTCAGCTTGCCAAATGAGCTCTGCCTTCCAGTCTCGGGTAGGAAACAATGAACGACTGGTCCCACCAGCTCCCCAATTAGGCCCAGAGCCAGGGGCAGCCCCAGTGGGGAGAGAGCTGGGCTCCAACACAGCATTTTCCACCCAGGCTCAAAGACAGGCGGGGAGGCCTGAAGGGAGTTGAGGTCCGCAGCTGGAGAAGTGCCCCTGGTATTCAAGCATTCCCGGCAGATGAAGTCATCTGAGATACGGGTACTTGGCAGTCAGCTCCTAATGATGCGATTGTAACCCCCGCACCCGCTGCTCTGATCCCCCTACATAAAACATTCAACAGGTACTGTTTGGAATGTAAGGTTATTTTCTTTGGCACTCAGGCAGCTTCCCTTATCGGTGGTGAGGAACCATTTCCTTTCCCTCAATAAGGAAATCGGGCGTCACTTCAGGGAAATGCCTGTCAAAAGCTCCAAGTGGGTCAGCCGCCATGGCAACCATCACCCAGCAGGCCAGTGAGGGGATAAATCCTCACGCTGAAAGCCTGGCCTAACCTCTTTCTGACTTTCTTCAAAGCCTGATATTTCCAAGCAGCCCACGACCCCGCAGTGGTGGCCCTTCCTTTGTCCTTGAAAACAGGCAGTCAATTCCTCCAATAGGAAAAAACAGCCACGGAAACTTCCTTTGATGAGGCCATCAGAGGTGCTCAATGACAGTGATGTTTTCTAGCTGACAGAGAAACACCTTTTCAGGGCTTTTCGGGTGTTTTTGAGGGCTGGAGCACAACTTGTATTTATGGCCTTGCCTGCTGACTAGCGGCGGTTGTGATGAGTTTTGTCCATTAGAGAGAAAGAGGAGCCATGAGGCAGATTAAAAAAAGCAAATTCAAGTTCAGCATGGGACATGCTGACAAGAGAAGGTAAAAGACCACTAAGGAGACATCCTCTTTATGGTGTCAGAAGAAACCCAAGGAAATGCACTTCTCGAGCAAGTTTCCTCATCTATAAAACGAGCACGCCAGACCAGGTGGTTTTGTTTTTTGTTTTTTGTTTTTTTTTTTACAAATAGTTTATTGTCAAATTAGTTTCCACATAACACTCAGTGCTCATCCCCACGAGTGCCCTCCTCCATGCCCATCACCCCCTCCCCCCCACATCCATCAGTCCTCAGGTTTTGTCAGCATTCAAGAGTCTCTCATGGTTTGCCAGACCAGGTGGTTTTGAAAACCTCCTTCTTGGCTCTAAAAACCTTAGGCTCCGTAATTAGCATTTAGATAAACTTTAGAAGTTTTACCCACCACCAGGCCCCCAGCAGCTTGTCTCTGTGAGACCAACCAAGGTCATTCATCAAGTACAGGGGGAAGGTTTCTTCAACATGGGGATTGCAAAATCAGAATCCAACTTGTTCCCTGGAGTCAAGTTAAGTACTCACTGTCAGTTTCCACTTCTTGCTTGTGAAACTGCTCCAGAAGATTTTGTGCTCTTCTCTCCGGATCAGAGCCTGGCATCATCCGTTTGAGATAATCCAGCAGTTTCTGTAAGCAAGGGAAGTGAGGGGGCTCTCGGAAGTCCTCTGCACACTGGTCAAGCCAGGCCCTCAGGATCGAGGCGATTGCACTGAGAAAGAAATGGAGAGTCACTGCACCCAACTGGATGCCACGGCCTCACCCAGGGATACCTCACAAAACTTGGGGTCAACAGAGAGTTCCTCCAAAAGTTCCTGGCAATGTCAGTGAAGTTAAAGCACTTGGTTGTAGGGCAGGGCAAAGAGTGCTTAAGTTCCAAAGAGAGAAAAGATCATAGCTTTGGAAAATCCCATACAGGGAAAATAAATAAATAAAAAAGACACAAGGGAAGGAGATTTAGTGAGTCCTGAGGCAACTTCAAAGCAATCCGTGCACAAGGAGATTATGTGTCTCCAATTCTGGATTCACTCATGTCGGAGACCACAAAATCAACCATACTAACATGTTAGGAATAACTGACTGACAGGAGGCCTGAAATCCATCGAATGACAGGAAGTATGTAGGTTTGGAAAAGATAGCAGCATTAATTTAATTTTACAAAGATCACCAGGGTTTTGGCATAAGTGCCAAAAATGCCCCCCTCAAATTATCCTTCAGCTTTTTCAAATTATAAGAGGAGAATATGTAGAATACCTAATAGAGAAGTAGGTCTTTGAAAGGTAAGGGACAAAACCTTGAGAAGCAAAGCCACTGTGAAGGCGATTTCCACCGATGGCTCAGCAGAGAATACCTCAGGTGAGACAAGGGCCAAGGCACAAAAAGAGACAGGGCCGTGACGTGTGCACACCCCCTCCCCCACCCCCACCATGGTACTGGGAACATGCGTGGGCTGTCTTTACATTCGGGGCAGCCCCTCATCCCGTGGAAAAGACAAACAGCTGACTGGCGAAAAGGATAAAAAGTTTTGGGTGCTATCATTGTACGCTTCATGTTCAAAGAGGACGTGCCGGGCTGTGTCTGCCAGAAAACACAGTACTTGGCCTCTTACTGACCAGCTGCCCCACGGCTAGGCAGATGCATTCGTGATGGCTGGAGATGACAGGGGCTAATAAATTAATCAAACTGTGTTTATTGACAGCAATGTGATACTTCGTTTTAGCTAAAGACCCAACTGACCAAAATTCTTCAGCTGGTAAAAAAAAATGGTTAGGACATTTTTAATTTATCATCTACGTATACTTCAAACAAATCGTTCACTTAGTTAACAATCTATAAAGACACTACAAAGAATTATTCACATATGTGAACCTGCAGGCTGGGCTTTCACAGGTGTGTCTAAATTCCACACATCCCAATTCCTACCACGGAGCCAGCCTACCATCCAGGCATACATACAACTAAAGCCAATTCAATGCTTAACTTTTGGAAGTGAAGTGCAAATAGAAGAAAAATAAATTTACTAGCTGTTTTCACTGCTATGGATATCACTGCTTTCCTACTGAGGATATGAGGGCTTTTGGAACTATAATACTCACATGCGTATTTTGGAAACAGGTGACATAAAACCACAGAAATAATTAAAATATTCCCTCTTTAGTCCAGATTAAATAAAAAGCCATACAAAAGTTTCACTCCCTTCCAAAAGGTTGGAGGAAATTAATATGGGCTCTGGGATTTAATGAGAACATAAGCAAAATGAAATTAATGGGTTCTTCTCAGTGAACCTTCAATCCTCAGTTCACCTGCGGAATCATCTGTTATGAATGAATGCTTGTGTCTCCCCCCTAACTCATATGTTGAAACCCTCGCACACCCCCAAAATTGATGGACTTCTACTTTTTGAGAGCTCACACACTGCATTCCTTATTTCTCCTTTCTTCACACACACACACACACACACACACACACACACACACACAAATATCATGAATTGAAGTAGAAAATGATGAAGTAGCATTCTAACACTTCCTCTTTATAAGGAACAGGACTTTTTCGATGAATAATTTCTCTTCTTCCCTGAGACGCATTGAGCCCAGAACTGGGGTAGGCACACTGGTGAGGGAAAAGCCTAGAATATAGGACAGCCTGACATCTGCTTCATCGGGTTGACTCTTACATATGGTTTTGTACTTCTCAAAAGAAGTGTGGATTTGATTAATATAACTATTCATTTAGTATTTAATATTTCAGTGAGAGAATACTCTTCCAAAGACACTGATAGAAAAAACAGAGGGATTTTTCTGGAGGGATGGAGGGATGAGAATTCACATCGATCAATAAAAATAAAAAAGAGCACCCACCCAACAACGAGACCAGCAACACAATGACTGTTGTGACTTCTCAGCTGCATAACTTACAAGAAAACCCAGGCAGAAATCCATAATTACAGGGAAGAGGTACATAGTGAAAGATATTAACAGACCAATACTCCTTGGCCTCCCATAATTTTTAGTTTTCAAATTGCAAAACTGATTATTTATTGCAAAAAACTAAATGTTACAAATGTATATAAATGAAAACAGCAAAATATCCACTTCCCCTTCATTCTAATCCCATTTCCATGGCCATAGTCTGGAGTATATCCTTCTAGTCTTTTCAGTGGATATGTATATATACTTAAATAGATATACTGTGTATATATTAGCCAACATGGATTTTTGTTCCCACTGAATAGTATGACACAGACAGCGTTCCACTCACTTCCTTCAGATCTACCTTACACCTTACTGTTCCCCACTGTGTAAACACACCATAATTAATAGAAGTATTCTTCTACCTGTATACAAATGTTTGTTATTGCGTTCACAATCATAATTACAAAATGTGTATCTTTGTTCACATCTCTGCATACTTCTGCATCTCTCTAGGACACATCATTTAGTGCTTTTTTTTTTTTTCTTAACTTTTTTTTAATGTTTTATTTATTTCTGAGAGAGGGAGAGAGACAGCCTGAGCAGGGGAGTGTCAGAGAGAGAGGGAGACACAGAATCTGAAACAGGCTCCAGGCTCTAAGCTGGCTGTCAGCACAGAGCCCGATACGGGGCTCGAACCCACGAACCGTGAGATCATGACCTGAGCCGAAGTCGGAAGCTTAACCGACTGAGCCACCCAGGCGCCCCTAGTGCTTACTTTTATGGAAAGTGCAGCCTCGGAAGGTCTGGGGGAGTCCTGAAAAGGGACTTGAGTTCAGATTAGACTTGCCATTAGGTGCACATTTTGTCCTCCTCAGTCTGACATTTTTAACTAGCTCTGGTAAGCTATTCGTTCTACCCTCTGTGACAGTGCCCTTCCCCCAGCTTAGCCTAAAAGGACTGTGGAAGTTCACTACAAATCCAGATCCTGACCTGGCCAGAGAAAGCATTTTCACAGAAAAGAGGAGTGAAGAGGGAAGGAGGAAGAAGGAAGAGAAGACGGGAAAGACACACAAACAGCACAATACGACACGGGGTAGACCCCTGCCCTCCTATCAGCAGGCCAATTATCAGCATGCCAGGAAGGGAGGTTTTCTGGAAAGTCCTGGACACGTGCCCAAAACTCACAGTAGCTTTATGTTTACTAGTCCTGGGAAGAAAACCTCCAGTTCTTGATAGACTATAAAGCAGATAAAATGTGAAACATTTGAGATTTCAAAAGGGAAAGCAACATTGCAAAATCACGGCAGCCTACAGGATTACTGGCCAATGACTTTCTATCTTACCCTTCCTGGCTTTGCTCCCAAGGTCTAGCTTACATACCAACCAGAACCGATTCCTGGGGAGAATGTAAAGAACCTCAATACTGAAGGGAAATCTGATTTAAAATCACAAACTTACAGGAAAGGTGTGACTGTTAAGCTACAGAAGCTACTTGGCTGTGTACCAGAACAAGAAAGAAGGCTAAAGAAGGAAAACCTGATCCCCACCCAGCTGTGCCACCTGTGAACAAAGGGCGGTAGGCAGGTCACTCAACTCCACTGACCTTACCTGGAGAAGAGACAGAATACCTGCCTTCATCTACCTGACGCTGACCAGTTGTGATTTCACAGGACATAATGTCAGGAAGGATGTTTTAAGATACCTAAAGAGAAATGTTAGCTTTCAGTGGTCTTAAGACTACTTGCCATAATTCACAAAAAGAAGGGACTGAAAAAAGTAAAATGGCTCACTGAAACTCAATCAGCACGTATGGAAATCAAAGAATTTGCTACTAAACAGAAAGGATGACATGGAATACAAATTGTGATACAACATGTGTGGCTTCAGGCCTGCTACTGCAAACACACACACACACACACCCCACCTAAGGCATTCTCCTCAGGACAGATATACTATAATGCGTAGTAGCTACTGGGATCCTTACATCTTGTTCTCATTTTTTCTTCTCCATTTATGTTATCTGTATTAATGTCATTCCCTGGAATTCTCTTGATTTATGTTACTCATTTATTACGACCTCACAGCCACTACCTCATTAAGCAAGGAACTATTTGAGAACACCCTGAACTTTGAAAGGTTCATTCATGAGTCCTTAATTCTCTTATTTACACTAAGGACTTATAAAGAGAGGAATATTTGAGATCAGAAAAATGTCAATTTTTAGATGAATCTTACTAAGCATTTTTTAACTACAGATTCTTAATATATTCTCTCTCTGCGGCCCTCCCAACTCCTACTTCTCCTCAAGACAGACAGGGACATCAATCTCTAAGGCAAACTGCAAGACACGCTTCTTGAATGACTTGTGAAGACTGAAGAAGTATTTTCTGAAACCAAACGGAGAGATTACGACTGTGACATAATCTAAACTCAGTAAAGAGGAAAGTCAGTACATGGCCTCCTTTTCCAAAGTGATCTCTAATGGGTTACAGAGCAAAACCCCTCAGTCCCAAGCAAGCATGCTGGGGGTAGCCAGGGGCAGGACCCCAACCTGACAGCTCAGGGGACAACCAGAATTGCCCTTTCTACCTCAGGCATTCTTGGCAACTTTGTTCAGCCTACCACAATGGTCTATAAGGAAAGAAAGACATGCTCAGACATCAATGTGTGGAATGGACTGACATGACTTCTGAGACTTGTACTTCTAAGGAAACAGACCCTTGGGGAGAAGTAGTTCACTAACTAAACTAATATTTTTTGAGTGCCCTTTATCTTCTGTGTATGTGATGAATGTCAC